AGAGTCCAGATGCATCCCAAGAAAGGTGGTTGTCTGAGATGGAACAAGACAACTCTTTGCCAAGTTGACTTTGAGGCCTAACAATGACACATGAAGTAGAAGCTGGGACGTATCCCGAGAGCCAGCTACCTGAGAGGGAGCACAAAGAAGCCAATCGTCCAGGTATGGCAGAATCCTGACTCCGGAGGCCTGTAGAGGAGAGAGGGCTGCTTTCACGCATCGAGTAAACACCCTCGGGGAAAGGGAGAGCCCGAATGGGAGCACCCGGAATTGCCAATGACGCCCCCGATAGGCAAACCTGAGAAAACGGCGATGTTCTGTCGCAATAGGCACGTGAAAGTATGCGTCTGTCAGATCTACTGATGTAAACCAATCTCCCGCCACAATGGTCTGAAGGACCTCTGTTATGGTGAGCATGTGGAAGGGAAGGACCTTCAGGTACCGATTCAGTCCCCTTAGATCTAAAATGGGGCGAAAACCGCCGGTCTTCTTGGCCACAAGGAAGTATGTGGAGTAGTAGCCTCTGGGTTGCCGCAGAGGATCTACAGACTCGATTGCCCCCTTGCCCAGGAGGGCGGAAAGCTTCTGGTCTAGTGCCTGAGATTTCACCGGGTCTGTGATGACAGTCATCTTGACCCGGTGTGAGAGGGGGGGGCCGCCTTCGGAACTGGAGCCTGTAGCCATTGGTTAAGGTGGCAACCACCCATGGATCTACGGCATGAGCAGCCCAGAAATTCAGCTGCTGATGGGAAAAATGTCCGACGGCTGGCCCGGTGGCATCATCTTCTATCCCCACGGCCCCTGGGGGCTCTGGGGGGAGGGCGTCCAGGATTTGAGGCCCGGGTCTGTCTAACAGGGCGGCAGACTGGCTCACGAAAGTCCCTCCTCGGTCTCTGCCGCACATCATGGGGATAGGAACCAATAGGTCTGCCACCAGTCTGAGGTCGTGGCTGAACGCTGGGGGTAGTGGCAGGGCGGCCCGAACGCTGGGGAAAGGCAGGTATGCTCCTGCGAAGGCCGGAAAGCTGCTGGCTAGTCTGACGTGCCTGAGCAGTCCGTTCCAGCGCCTCCAAGGCAGCTGATCCAAACAGCTCCCCTGGTACAACCGGGACACCCCTGAGGGTCCTACGGCATGCTTCAGTCAGAGGAGATTGTGCCAACCAGACCTGTCTACGAGCTTGGACAAGGAAAGACATGACCCGTCCAAGCTCTCTGGTCATCAGCGCGAAGGCCTGCAGCGCTGCGTCACTATAACCAACCGCCGCACTTGCACCACCAGTGTCCTGAACAGATGCAGAGAGGGCAAACATGAGGTGCGCCAGATAATTGCCAAGGCGGCCAGCACGCGCTCCTGCATTGTATGCCTTACAGAGGAGGTCATCTGTAACCCGACATTGAGTCCGCGGGCACCGGACATCAGGACGCAGGGCTTCATCTGGTGACACAATCAGTGAAGCAACAGCTGGTTCAATTGCTGGCATACGGTCCAGGCCGGCCTTCACCGACTCATGCATGGCAGCTAATACACGACCATCCGATGAGAGACGCGACAGCGCTCTCGGTTCCCGCCAACAGGCGTGTAACTCCTTCAAGTACTCCTCTGATGGAGGTACAGAAAAAGGAGTAGGAGCCCTTCCACGTCTGAAAAAGGCACTGCCGGAGCTGGATGCCTCTCCTTGTGGGAGTTCCAGCTGCAGCTGCTTCAGGGCCATAGACATGACCTCCCGCATGGAACCGTCACCGGCCTCTCCAACCGCACTCTGAGATGAAAATGAACCAGCCTCAGAGGCTTGAGAGGACCCTGCCTCCTCCTCATCTCTAAAATGAGAAGCGGAAGCAGCCAGAGAGATAACGTCATCCTCTACAACCAGCTCGGGCATTGGTGGGGAAGAGAGCCCAACCACTGGGAGCGAGGGATCAGATTGCCGTGTCTGCAACAAGGACTTCATCTCTGCCAGCTCTGCTGACAACTGCTCCACCCTTGTGGACAGGCCCTGGTCAGGTTTGGCCCGCTTCCTCCGGGGGAGGGGCACAGATGCTGTGGTCCCACCACGGCGCTTAGAACGCTTGGGGGGGAACCACCTGCCCAGAGGGCGGAAGGTCCGAGCCCTCCTGGGGGCACAACTGGGCCAACCGGGCCACCCTCACTGCATGGGGCATAAAGCTGCAGTTCATACAGGGGTTCTCAGACAGCGCCTCCAAAAGGTGCTCATGTCCAATGCAGGTAGGGCACAGGTCGTTGCCATCCTCTGCCTGCAGGGCAGCCCCACAATCCATGCAGCTGTGAGAGCCATCCATGTCGAAGGCCGACAAGGCTTAAAGAACAGAAAGTTATCGAAAATCGGGAGAGGGGGCGCAAACGCAGCCGTCACCAATTACAGCAGAGAAACGAAAGAGGCTGCGAGCACAAGGCAGCCGATACTGGGAGAGGGGGCGAGAACCGCTACCGTCACCAGGTATAAAACCAATAAACCAAAAAAGCCAACAACGTTAGCTGTATGGAAACTTAAGTTGGGAGTAGGAGCGAACAACGCTGCCCTCACCAATTAAGAGAGCAGACCAGCGAAAAGGCTGCAAAAAAGGTTGATTTTGGGAGAGGGGGCGAAAACGCTGCCGTCACCATTCATAACTAAGCAGACCGATGAAGAAGGCTGCAAACAAACCAAAAAAGGCTAACAACGTTAGCCGTCTCCAATTTCGGCAAACGAAGTAGACCACACTTGGTTGGGAGAGGGGGCGAAAACCGCGGCCGTCAGTAATTATAGCAGCGCAGACCGGTGAAAAAAAGGATGCAAAAGTAGGGAATATACTGGGAGAGGGGGCGAAAACCGCTGCCATCACCAGGTATAACACCAACAAACTAAAGAAGCTAACTACGTTAGCCGTATATAACTTCGGCAGTGAAGTTATTCACACTGGGAGTAGGGGCGAAAACGCTGCCGTCACCAGTTCGAAACAAAACAGCACGAAGCTGTAGGTAAAAAGCTAAAGTCGTGAGCCGGGAGAGGGGGCGCGGACGCTACCATCACCAGCAAACAACTCACTTACCTTCCGTATTCCTCAGAATCGACCCGTTGCAGCCCTGGGAGGGCGGAGAATAACCGCAACTCCGGTCAAGATACAGGGGCTTCAGACAACGGGGAAGTTAGCGAACCGCTTGCGAGAAGAAAAAAGGAGCAGAGCAAAGGATGACACCAGGCTATATAGCTTCTGAGTGGTCATCCGGTGTCACAGGTGTGACTCTGTTGGTATAATTACTCGAACTGCGCATGCCCGAAGGGAACATTCAGTGCTTTCAGCACCGCCCTCTGGCAGTCAGTAGGGATGAAATAGAACTGAAAAACGAGGAAGAAAAAGAAAGACAACCCCTCGAATGGACAGAAGAATAGCCAAACTGGCGAAGACTCAGCCAATGATGGGATCCAAGAGGATCAAGCAAGACCTTCAGTTGACAGTGAGTACTGTGACAATCAGAAGACGTCTTACTGAGGTTAACCTTCCAGCAAGAAGCCCCCGCAAAGTCCCACTGCTGAGAAAAAGACATGTGCAGAAGCGTTTACAATTTGCCAAAGAGCACATTGACTGGCCTGAAAAGAAATGGCATAATATCTTGTGGACAGATGAAAGCAAGATTGTTCTTTTTGGGTCTAAGGGTCACAGGCAGTATGTCAGACGCCCTGCAAACACAGAATTCAAGCCACAGTACTCACTGAAGAACATTAAGCATGGTGGTGCAAGCATCATGATATGGGGATGTTTTTCATACTATGGTGTTGGTCCGATTCACCGCATACAAGGGATCATGGATCAGTTCCAGTACATCAGGATCCTGGAAGAGGTCATGCTGCCATATGCTGAGGAGGAAATGCCTTTGAGGTGGACCTTTCAACAGGATAATGACCCCAAACACACCAGCAAGCGAGCAAAAGCATGGTTCCAGATGAACAAGATTCAACTGATGGAGTGGCCAGCACAATCCCCGGACCTTAATCCCATTGAAAACTTGTGGGCTGACATAAAAAGTGCAGTGCATGAGGCAAAACCAAGAAACGCTGAGGAATTGTGGAATACAGTGCAATTATCCTGGGCTGCAATACCTGTGGAACGATGCCAGAAGTTGGTTGACTCCATGCACCACAGATGTGAAGCAGTCATCAGAAACCGTGGTTTTGCAACAAAATATTAGTTTAGGATACTCAGCTAGGTTTACTTATCAAGAATTTCTTTGTTTGTACAGTACATTTTTGAGTTTCCAAGGAAAGATGGCAACACTGCTATTCTTTTGAACATGCCATTTCTTACTTTATTTGAAATATTATTATTATTATTTAAGTTTTGATGACTTTGCGCAATTGTTTTGCTTTGGAATAGAATGTACTGTGTCCCCAATGTATCTGTGTTCATTAAAGTACAATTTCTTTGAAGAATTTTGACATTTACTCATTTTTCTAAAGGCACTGCTATTATTTCGAACACAACTGTACATGCTTACAGCCTGTATAACAAAGACATGACCACAGACTTTTTACATAGTCATGCCTCATGACATGGCCACGCCCCCATCACATGTCCACACTCCTGGAGGTTTCTTCCTGTTCAAAGGGAGTTTTTCCTCTCCACTGTCCCTACAAGCATGCTTAGTGTGAGGGATTGCTGAAGAGTCAATGAGTCGATGCAATCAGCTGGTTTTCCTTAGATAGAAAACTTTGAATCAATCTGACTGGATGATCTGGTGAACTGGAAAGTGTCTTGAGATGACTAAATTGGATTTAATTGCATTAACAGCTAGTCTGCCTGAGTTTTTAGTGTTGATAGAATAATAAAACCATTTGGGTTTCAGACCTTTACAATGCTCGAATCAAATGATCAATTCAGATCAAAAAGTTGAATGATTATAGTTTCCTGTCAGATTTCCAGTGCTTTGTAGAAACATAAATGTTGAGCAGGAGTAGAAACCAAATGTGAAGAGAGGATCATGGCGTTGGGCGGGCAGTGCGTACCTATGGGGATGTAGAAGGGGCTGATACCAAAGAAGTCGTCTCCCCACTGAGGTTCGCGTGGTAAACGGCTGTCATAGACTCTCAGGGCATCCAGCATCTCCTGGTCAAGCTTGGTCATCTTACTGAGCCGCTGCTGCAGGAAACCAAGGCACATCTGACGGGCAAATAGGGCGCTGTCTGCACTGGACACTGTGGTTCCTGTAGAGAAACACTGCATAAAATGAATTCTTCCAGTAAGGGGAAAACGGTGATAGAAAGATCAGGCTTCATCTCACCTGAGCCAATGCCATCGATGTACACCAAACATGCAGCATGGACACAAGCCGTGACAGCGTCCAGTCTGAGGTCCCACTCTGTCTCCTCCTCATCTTCAGCTCCTCTGGTGGTCATGAGGCTGTCCTCGTCCCGCTCACATACAGCGTTAAGGAAGTTGACCCAGGACAGGATGTCTCTGACGCTCAGAATGCAGCGCCGGCCGAAGTCCTGCTGGGTCAGCCATTCGATGAAGTCCAGCATCAGTTCTGCAACGTCCAAGCCTGGGTTTCATTTGAACAGAGGGAGAACCATCAGCGAAACACCACTCCTGAAAACATCCACTGGTAAACAGAAGTTAGAGTCTGGCACGTTAGAATCAGTAAATTTATCGGCGAAGTTAGCTTTACCATGGAGGGAGAGCCCGGCCTGCAGGTTGTGTCGGATGATCTGGACCAGGTCGCTGTGGCTGTTGCTCTGAGGACACCAGATCTCAGTGAAGCGGTTCCTCAGGGCAGGAGAAAGCTGGACAACAGCACACAGGTCACACATCAGCTTCCTTTACAGCACCGAGCAAAAGTTTGCACTCCCTCTTAGGCTTTTAAAAGTTTCAGCCACAAAAGGTAATGTGCTTAGTCTGTAAAGGCAGACACCCTGTCTACTTTTAAGGCTAGGCTTAAAACTTTCCTTTTTGATAAAGCTTCTAGTTAGAGTGGCTCAGGTTATCCTGAGCTATCTCTATAGTTATGCTGCTATAGGCTTAGACTGCTGGAGGACATAGGGACCCCCATTTCATCATTCTGCTTCATTCTATCTCATTCTATAAATATAAAGTGGGAGTGTTTTTCTAAAGCAGTATAGATAATAGATTACAGTTAAACCCCTGAGTCTCATGTTCCATACCTCCTTCTTGCCGAAGTCTCCACCAGGATTCATGGTGGCAACCAGACGGAAGCCAGCAGCAGCTCTGATCAGCTCCACGTCGTCGTCATCTCCGCTGCCCTTCTCTGCCAGCACCAGGGACTTCTCCGTCTCCAGAACGCTGAAGGCAAACACAGTCCTCTCAGCCTTTTATTTACTTGCAGTCCACCATTCTGTCCTGCTGTATGCCAGCTGGAAGGGTGACAGCAAACCTACTACAGAGGCAGATGTTCTTCTGAGTCCTGCTTCAGTCTCATTTTTTCCACTTATCCATCAGGATCATAAGGGTGCTGGAGCCTAAACAGGCTCCTCTGCTACCTCAGCATATCAGAGACACCCCACACACCCTAACAGCCACGTTAGGATAAGCAGGTGAGAGGAAGTCTGAGTACCCAGAAAGACCCCCCACATGCAAACTCCATGCAGAGAAAACCTTCTGCTGCAGCATGGAGGTTTAGAACCTGAGTTGAAGTAGTTTTAAAAAGATATTAAGCTAGAAGGACTGAGGAGTCTTCTTCTAAAATTTAGACACACTGTGGGAGGGAGGGAGGGAGGAAGGAAGGAAGGAGGGAGGGAGCAAGGGAGGGTAGGAACCGATGGAGGTAGGGAAGGAAGCAAGGAAGGATGGAAGGAAGGGAGCGAGCAAGGGTGGGTGGGAAGGACGGAGGAAGTAAGGAGAGACGGAAGGAGGGAGAAAGCAAGGAAAGATTGAAGGAGGGAGGAATAAAGCAAGGAAGCAAGGAAGGAAGGAAGGAGAGATGGGAGGAAGGAGGGAGTAAGCAAGGAAAGATGGAAGGAGGGAGGAAGGAAGCAAGGAAGCAAAAAAGGAAGGAAGGAAGGAGAGACGGAAGGAGGGAGAAAGCAAGGAGAGATGGAGGGAGGGAGGAAGGAAGCAAGAAAGCAACAAAGAAAATGAAGGAAGATAGCAAGGAGAGATGGGAGGAGGGAGGAATGAAGCAAGGAAGCAACAAAGGAAGGAAGGAAGGAAGGAATCAAGGAAGGGAGAGAGCGAGGGTGGGAAGTTTGGGAGGAAGCATGGAGAGAGGGAGGTGGGAAGGAAGCATGGAGAGAGGGAGGAGGGAAGGAAGCATGGAGAGAGGGAGGAGGGAAGGAAGCATGGAGAGAGGGAGGAGGGAAAGAAGCATGGAGAGAGGGAGGAGGGAAGGAAGCATGGAGAGAGGGAGGAGGGAAGGAAGCATGGAGAGAGGGAGGAGGGAAGGAAGCATGGAGAGAGGGAGGAGGGAAGGAAGCATGGAGAGAGGGAGGAGGGAAAGAAGGAAGGAAGATCTTCCAAATACAAACTTAAACTATGAGACTTGGAATAAAGTCCTGGAATACCAATATTTATAGTTTTTATTTTCCTATGATGTTTATTCAGACCTGGAAAATACCCAAACTGTATTCCAGGCTTTTCCAGGCTGTCAGGGAGCTGATCCTCCTCGCTTTACCTGTTGAGCCTTTCCAGCACAGAGTCGTCAGCCAGGGAGATCTCATCCATGAGGAAAACCCCTCCTTCCTTCATGGCGAGCACCAGCGGTCCATCGGTCCACTCAAACAGCCGCACCTCCTCCCCAACAGTCTATCCAAAGACACATGACATAGAAATGACCAACAGATCCGATTACCATAGATGTATTCTGCCTAGAATGGGCAGATCTATTTGCTCCCAGCATGTCTGGCTGCATGTAAAGTAACAAGGTGAACAGTGGAGGCTGGTTTAATGACAGAATCAACAAATATAAAAAATAAACTCTCAGCTGGTTCCGATCCTCATTAGGTCATAACAGCCAGTCAGCCCATCAGAACCATTATAGACCAGCGGGTCAGAACAGGTGGAACCGAATGGTGGATTAGTACCTGCTGGGCGTATCGAACCGGCCGCAGGCCTCCAAGGAAGTCAGAGGTCTCCATGTGCATGTGACAGTTGACAGAGAAGAACTTCTGTCCAGCCAGAGCTGCGTACAGCTGGCAGATGGTGGTTTTCCCACATCTGCAGAGGAAACGGATAGCATGGGTTAACATGACTGATGAAGAAAAATCTTCTCAGCCACTGAAAGGCATCTGGAAGACGGCGTGGCTGGAAGGCCTTTCTGAGCAGTTGGTGAGGAACGTCTGAAGCTGACCCGGTGTCTCCTACGAGCAGAACCGACTCCCCGAAGTGCAGGGCCCGGCCTATCAGCACAGCTATCCTCCTCAGACCCTGGGTCCACACCACGTGGCGGAAGTCGTCCGGGACTCCTGCACCGCTGTCGATGAGGGGGCCTGGTGGTGACAGGAAATAAGCCTGCTGATTGTCACAGACTCCAGCGGCGTCTGCAGGCTGCATGTGGAGCGGCTGCTTCTTACTGAACTGACTGATGAGCTGTTTGTGGGAGAACAGGTTCTCTGGGTTCACCGTCCTTTTGAAGTGTTTCTGCAGGGTGGCCAGGATGACGGCCTCCTCCTCCGGCTTCCTCACCCGTCCGGCCAGCAGCATGTAGCCTGAACACAAACACAGCTTGGATCAGGGGGGGCGCCTCTTAGGAGCCTCAGGGTGCATCTGGTGAGCCTCACCATCGTCTGCTAGATGCTGCAGCCAGTCCTGGGAAGCCTGCGTCTGCTCCTCCAGCCTGTAGCGCTCCGCCCAGCGGAACAGATCTCTCAGCGTGATGAAGCCGTGCTTCCCCGCAAACACAGAGGATCCTCTGCGCAGAGACTGGAAGAGGAAAGATGCATCTTTAGAGCCGCCGTTTGCTTCCACACCACAGGGAAGACATCAGCAGAAATACCTAGGGCTGGGTATTGTTAAAAAAATTTCGGTTCCGGTACCAATACCGATACCTTCACTTCGATACCGGTTCCTGAACGATACTTTTTTCGATACCAGTTTTATAATATCAATTCGAAAAAAAAGAAAATTACACAACATAAAAAAGTACAAATCTTGAGTTTTATTTTAAGCTCTGTTTTTCCATTTACATTTTTCCTCTTACATAAAAAAATAAATAATTCAGTGTCTAATATTCACTGTTACATTGTGAGGACCGTTTTACTTAGCAGTTTTCCTTTAGAAAAATTACCATGTCTGACAAACAAGCCCGTTGAATGGGATCCTACTGACAGCGCACCGCTGGTATGGGGGGGGTCTGAGCGGCTCCGACAGAAATATTGAAGGCAGGATGAACTGACTGCACTGATTACGTTTTCAGGTGGATTTTCCCACTTAAAAACATAATAAAACTACTTTATTCCCACTGATCACAGCAAATATAGCTGCAAGGCAAATAAAGGATAGAGTAGCTCCGCCCAACGCGCGTCTGACCCACTTTGCGACCGCGCAGCAAAGCTTCTTCAGCAGCGCGTCAGAAGCTGGTACAAGCAGCAAAAATGAAGCAGCAGACGAGATTTTGCTGCTCTTGCTGCGTCCAGTTTGAAAGCAGCATGATTCACTCCGCTCTGGCTTTGCTCTGCCCACGGGCTGCTGAGAGGAGGATGGTCGCGCTGGCTGCGGTCCGCTCTTCTTGCAGTCAAACACAGAGCGACTTTCTGCTCTTAAATTATTTCCGTGCACGATGTATTGCATTGTGCACTATTAGCATCAGTCTTAATAAAGTGAAGCCGCACTTTTGACCTGGGGGGCATTTTAAAGGGGTTCCGCGACGCTGCAACCAGTTCACAACAGATACACATGAACCCTGGCTGTAGGCGTGACCACCTGTGTATTTTTCCTGGATGACGCAATCACCTTAAGTGTTCCAGCCAATCACCGAAACTTGGTACCGAAAGACGAGGCATGTTTCGATACTCTGTAGAACCGAAGCATTTCGGTCGGTACCATAAAAGTACCGAAGTTCGGTACCCAGCCCTAGAAATACCTGAAGGTCCAGCATGACTTTGACCAGCTTGCTGCAGTAGGATGGAGGTAAGCTGCACCTCTGGTGAAGGATGGTTTCCAGTTCTCCACTGGGAAGCTCATCAAAGTGAAGCTCCACAAAGCGGTTCCTGAAAGCCCTGGAGAGGACCTGGATGGAAGCAGAGGAAGTCCATGTCTGTGTGAAGCTGCTTCCTGGACCTCAGCTGCAGTAAAGCTGAGCGCTGTTAAGAGTTTGTCATTCCTCCCCACTGTCACCACATGCATTTCTCTCATTATCAGCCTTTACTCCGCTCACCTTCTAACAAATACATCGAGACGTGTACAGATCACCCTGTTCTCTACACCCTGCATCGGCTCCCGCTTCATTTTAGACTCAGGTGTCAAGTTACAAACTATAAATTTGTATGTATATAAATGTTCCTTTACTTTACTGGAGTAATTGTTTTTTTTAGACAACAAAAACATAAAAATAATTAGTTTCATCCAGACAATTAATCTCTTTGTGGTTGGACTTGGTGCTGCCCCAACAAGTTGGGGCAAAATAAGTCTTTTTTTTGTAGAAAAAAACCTTCCCTTCGTTGTAGAAAATGCTCCTTTAACAGACTAGTACAGTCAAAGCGAGTAAAAGGGTGATTTAAAAAAATAAAAATAAACATATTTTATTAATTTATTTTTTTAATGATGCCGCATGTTTGGCTCCTCTGAGTTTCTGTAGTTGCAGTATTAATCTCAGGTTGCAGTTTGGCAGCGTCATGTCACCCGATCCGTACCTTCAGCTCATTTGCGCAACCAAATATACATCCAGGTTTCCATAAATAATGTAATTATGGTGATAAAATCACTTATTTCTATCCTTAAATTCCTAAAGAATGCTAATACACACCTTTAAAAAATGTTTTTAATGACTTTTCTGAGACAATTTGAATCCTTTTTACATTTTCTTTGTTAAACTGCTTCTCTGACATCATCATGGGATTAAACCATGTTTATCTGCATTTCAGTTTTTTCTTTCTTTAGGTTACCACCATATACCATAATGTTAACATGAAAGGAAAACATAAAACTCAAAAAGACTCGATTTATGAAATCCAAAGCTGAAAAAGTTAGCCACTGGAAGTATCCTAGGATCCCATTTCAGGATCAGATCGGGAACGGATAAAACAGAAAGGATTTTAAGGCATTTATTTTCTCAGGAAACACATTATTAACCTTTAACACATTATATTTAAAACTCTTACTATTTTTGGGGAGGGAAGAATGTAATTTAGGTATTTTTTTACAAATTAAAATCGAGGGCGACCAGGATGACTATCAGGTTGCAAAAATGAGCTGATGGTACAGATCATGCTTCCGGTTCGGACTGGGTAGTAAGCTGTCACATGAAACACTAAATGACATCATAACTACAGGTGAGTGAAAATCAGAACTGCAGGGCGGGGGGGGGGGAGTTTATTTGGATGCGGTTCTATTAGTAGAAATAGGGCAGTATATTGAAAGGCGTATTCTGAAAGGGTCAGAAAAGGTTCCTGGTCCAGATAGAGTGGCTGCAGATAGCGCAGCGCGGTAGTGACCATGCCAGTCGCTCCGGGATGAACAAACCCGCACTAACTAACAAACCTCAGCTAAGAAACAGCTAACCTTTCTGCAAAACATCACAGACAGGAAAGCAGCAGGTTCGCTTGACGCATAGCCAAAGACTCGGTGCGTCATTTCTACATATTGCCTTCCTAAATATTTTAATTCATAAATTGAATTAAAAGGAAAAAAAATTAGATTTAATTTAGATTTTTTGTTTTTAAAGCTTTAAATGGACTCGCCCAGAGTATTTGTCTGAAATCTTAACTTGGCAGGAGCAGAACTGCTTATGTTGAAGTCAGCTGGTTTTAGGAATCGCCTGGTCTAGGTATAAACGGTGATCAGGCTTTAGCTGGTACTGCCCTGAGACTCTGGAACACGTTAGCCCTGAATATCTGCACTGCTGCAGATATCGCTCTATTAGGTCCAAACTGAAGACACATCTGATCAGGCTTATAATACACTGTAAACAATGTTAAACCTGAATAAGTCATTTTTTCTTATAATTAATCCATTTTGTTTTGAATGGAGGATGTAAGTGAAATACTTAGCAATTGCTTTTTCTGATTTTAAATGTATATGGTCTTGTTTCATTGGCATCGTCTTATTAGAAGCACATATTATCTAATTATCTTATTTCAAGAGTAAAAATACTAATTGAATCGGCAAAGCATCTTATTAATCTAATAAAATTAGGATAAATACACTTGATTTAAGACATTGTTAATTATTTCTAGATTGTTTTTCCAGAGTGCAGAGCAGTGGTTTGACCATTTCATTCATTTGCTTCTATATGATTTTACCGTTTTCTATGTTCAACTTTTTTAGTGTTTGCTGTGACAGTTTGGGCACCTGCTGGTTGTTGTAAAGTGCTGTATAAATATATTTAGATTTGTATTAGATTCGGTTGAATTTGACTGAGATTAAAGGGATTTGAACTTGGACCCAATCGCCTCCAGAGGGATTTAATATCACGCAGAAGAACCAAACGGATGAGGATCTGGAAGGATCAGGGTTTCTATGCTCTTTTGATATTTCAGCCTCTGAGTTCTTGAACTCTGTTCTTCGGCTTTGAATCACCTGGATTTCTTAGAACGTTTTTTTTCACCAATCTGATTGAACCATCTCTTCAGACGACAGGAGTTGTGAAATGATGCCATAGAGATTAAACGGATTGAATTCTTGCAGCAGCTCTCATCCTCCAGACTCTGTAATTCGTTAACGGTGTTCTGTGCGTCTATGAAGTACCTTCCTGCCGCCGTAGAGACCTGGAGGATTCTGGGTTGCAAACAGCATGAATCTAGGATGAGCCTTGATGACTTCCTGAGTCTCGGCCACAAACAGCTCCCGGTTATCATCCAGCAGCCTGTTGAGAGCCTCCAGGACGTCGGTGGGGGCCAGGTTCAGCTCATCCAGGATCACCCAGTAGCCTTTCCTCATGGCGTCGATCAGAACACCTGGACAACATTCACACAACAGGTCGAAGGAGAATTAGCTTAAAAGTAAAGACTGAGTCTTTATGTCAGGATAGTTGCAGGTTTTATCACTCCTACCCTCTTTGAACACCAGCTTTCCGCGGTCGTCTGAGGAGTAGCAGCCGATGTACTCCTGGATGTCGGTGTGCTCGTGGTTGTTGATCCTCACACACTGGTTTCCGGTGGCCGTGGCCAACCAGCGGATGAGGCTGGTCTTCCCCACAGACGTCTCTCCCTGGATCAGCACTGGGTGCGTCCTGCGGGGTCCAAGCAGTTCAGTAAAGGTTATGGCAGGGCACGGTATGGATTAGTCATTAGCTGAGTGTACACATAACCAGTGTGAATGGAACCACCCTAAGAGAGGACAGCCATTCAGTATGGATCGCCATGGTGACTGGATCCAGGCTGGAAAGATTATACAACTAGAGCAGCACAATGAACTCATCTCTAGTGTTATCATCTGCTATAGCAGACGCACAATGGTTCTGACTGGATGCAGGACTTGGTACCACTGCATCATCACTGAAGGAGCCGAGTGTTTAAACCTTGCTAACAGAAACCAGGGAAATCATGATAACTTGAGTAACGTGCAATAAAAGTTCACCTGGATAAAATACTTCTGTTTTAAAAACAATCACTACGTCTCTGACCGATCTTCTTTGAATAACAACTGACAGGCACAGTGGAGCCACCATCATGCTGTGGGCTTGGTTTGTTGCTGGATTTAATGATGCATTGCTTTAATTGGATTCCATTTTTTTTAAAGGACATGGTTTTCTGGGCCCATCTGGATGTTCCTGGATCTGAGCTCAACAACATGAAAATGTTCAGTTTCTATTGAAAAGCAACCGATTGAGATCAGCAGTGGTCAGGCGTCCAGCAGGAATGATGCCAGCTGTGTTTATGTAGCATTAATGGTTATCTCTCCAGTTCAAACAAATGCTGATCGGCCCAAAAACACGGAGACCAACAGTGTCTATGATGAGTGGATGGAACCTCTGAGCTGACAGCAGGAGGCAGTGCTTTAGTGAATAAAACCTTGAACGTCGTTTTTCCTCTCCACCAGTAAAGGCTTAATCCTAAGCCGACCCCTAAACACTAACCCTCAGTTTGTGAGTCTGCATCAGTGCAGGGGTAACTGAAAACTAGTTGTGGAGGAAACATTTGCATTCAAATGTAAGTTTAACTGGTTTGCTGAATCTTCGTCACACATAAAAGAACACCACTAGTTAGGAAAAATTTTAAAAAGATGTCAATAAACCCTTAATGGAAGGTTTTCTTTTAAATAGTTTGATTAGACTGGATAGGTTAATTTTTCGAGAAAATGGCAAACATTTGATGTTATGCTGCTATAGGCTTAGACTGCTGGAGGACATAGGGACCCCTTTTTCATCATTCTGCTTCATTCTATCTCTATTCTCCCACTCTGCAGAATCTGTTAGTTCAATCTCTAACGTTCTGCTCTCTCTGCTTTTTCTCATAGTAGCTTCATCTGGTCTGTTCCTGTTTGGCTGTGACTCCATCCTGGAGAGAAATATCAGCTGTGCTGCTGCCATCAACACCTTTGATTATAGATGTTGGAGCTTGGCCTGTTTTCCAGTGTAGTCCTGTTTCTCTGACTGTGACTAACTGGATGTGCTCTCTTCATCCTCTGACATGGGAGCTGGCTCAGAGGATCGGACCACCTGATCCAGGGACGTTAGAACAGTGAGTCAGGATTGGGGTTTGAGTCGTCCTACCCTGCAGAGACCACTCTGGAAAGGTCCCGGAGGTTGAGCTTCACTGAAGCAGTGAGGATGTAGCTGGGGTCCAGTGCAGGCTCCAGTTCTCCCTGGGGAACCCAGTAGCCCTCCATCTGAACACAGGCCCGGCCCGGTGGAGCTGGGATGGCCTGCAGAGAAGAACCACCAACATTTTAGATCTGATCCTGTCAGATTTTAGGTCTGATCCGGTTTCTCTGATGAAGCTACTAGCAGTAGATTCCCTGTCAGACTTTAGGTCTGATCCCGTCAGACTTGAGCTCTGATCCTGTCAGACGGGGAATCTACAGCTAGCAGGTAGTAGCTCCATCAGAGAAACCTGCTATGATATCATAACAGGGATTTAAAGGATTCTAAAGCAGTGGATAAAATAAAACCTAATGCATATCCACATCTTACCGACAGTTTGAACCTTACTTGTTTCAGGCACTTGGTGTTCCCCATTAGAATGTGCTGACACACCAGGTTCTGGACCAGAGGGTGGGAGCTCCTGTCCAGCTGGGTGAGGAAGCTCATGCAGAAGCCCTGAAGAAGAGGAGGATGGAAGCTCACAACAGACCTCAAACCTTCTGACTCAAAGTGAAACAGGAAATGCTGCTCAGCCAGTCTGACCTCATAGAGCGAACGCTGGACGCTGTGGCAGGGGTTCGCTGCCGCGTAGCTCAGAGCCCTGCACAGAGTGCGCAGGCTGTAGTGGGGTCTGTGGCCGGTTCCGTCCAGCAGGCGGGACGAGGCCTCCTTCCGCGCCGCCAAATAAAAACTGCAAACAACCACAATCGTTGACCGATAGGAACCCAGTGCAGTCCAGCTGCTGTAGAACAGGTTGAAGCTGACCTTATGATGCCGCTGATGACGCTCTTCTGCGGGTTCAAACACTTGAGGTAGTCAGAGACGAGGATCCTCAGGTCTCCCTCGTTCTCCAGCTCATGCACATACAGCTCAGTAAACCTAGACCCCGCCCCCAAACCCACACAGACACTTTTACCTTCCAGCTACTCAGCCTATCTGACCTCAGACCTGCATTTACATTCACAACAGCTGGAAGCAGCGGCGGCTGCTCAATATATATATATATTTTTAGAATTTAAGTTTAAATTAAAATTTAAAATATTTCAAAATATAATAATATATATTTGTTGTGCAAGATAAAAGCTTTATTCTGCTTTCCCTGCCTCCTTTTCCAAAGGTCAGGATCTGAGCCAGCATGGATGAAGACAGCTAGCACTGATTTAAACACTTTTTATAAAAGGCAAAGAAGAATGAACAACCTGGGATTCACATGGAAAATAATAGAATATAGTCTATTTTTTCTAGGTGTTTGTTAGTTTGCATAGTTGCTCTTAAATAAACATTCTCAGAAGATAAGTAGTTTTTATATATTAAAAAAATAGAAAGCTGACTAAAAGCTTCTCCATTATTAAACTGCTACATTATTTTTATTAGGTTTGTGAAACAATATTAGACCATGAAAAACACAGATTTACCTTCACAAAGTATCAGAAGGAAAGATTTATGTACAAAAAGGGAGTTTTTCCTCTCCACTGTCGCTACAAGCATGCTTAGTGTGAGGGATTGCTGAAGAGTCAATCCAATTAGCTGGTTTTCCTTAGATAGAAAACTTTCAATCAGTCTGACTGGATGATCTGGTTGAACTGTAAAGTGCTTTGGGATGATGTGTTGTGAAGCGGCACTATAGAAATAAACTGAATAGAATTGAAAAGGGTGGTGCAAATGGGGCTTTATGTAAACATGCATTTTCCAGTCTTGGAAATCTGCGCAGAATGGATGACAGATCAGATGTGAGAGGACTGCTTGCCTTCATGCATGTGCTGATAAAAGCTCAGCGACCACATACAGGAAACAGCAACACATCACAGAAGCTGACCTGTTCCTGAGCCCCAGAGGAAGGTTCCTCTTCCCAACATCAGTCGCTGGGTTCATGCATGCAAAGAGGCGGAAGTCCGGATGGCGAACCAGAGGCTCTAAAGAGCAAGAACGTAACATTAGTGACATTCCGTACCAACATTACCAACATTTAGCATCTCATCGATACACATTTAACTTCTTCTACATGTGTTGGAAGTTGAAATTTAGCCAAAACTAAAACATAACAGTTCCCAACATCTCCACATGCAAGCGTTTTTTTTGTTTTTTTTTTAAGAACGAGTCACTGCATATAAATACTTGGGCATCTGGTTGGAAACGTTTCCTTCTCCATCCACATTTTAAAGCTGTAATCTAAAGTCAAGGCAGAGCTTGGCTTCCTTTACAGAAACCACTCTTCCTTCACTTCTCTTATCTAATGACCATTCTACCCATTTGTTATGCTTAGTGTGAGGGATTGCCTTGAGATGACATGATGTGAATTGGTGCTACAGAAATAAACTGAATAGAATTATACATTAAAAAATAAAAACATTTTCTATTTATCATTAAAATAATTTGCTCCATTCAAAGGCCAAAAGGGACATTTTCAGCTTCACCTGCTTAAGATTCTGTAAAATCAAAAAGCACATTTGATCTCTGATTATAATTTTTTTCTCATGCACATTTTATTGAGGTTTTTTTTTGTAAAACATACAACAAATATATTGATATGCCACACCGATCTAAAGTTTACTTTACCGTTAGCCAGTTGAGAAGGGCAGACCACATACTATCATACTGATGCATTTTACCTGGAAGACTGTATGTCACTCTGATTATTTAACTCTAAAGAAAAAAGTTTTAGCTTACTAAACGTGTCTCTTAGTAAATGATTGGAAATAGACAGACAGCTGCAGCCTTAAAGCAATCAAAGACCCTGATCTTCTTGGAGGTGAACGGATGACAGAAAGGCTGGAATGATCCATAACCATCAGTAGAGTAGAAAATATCCATCCTGACTGGATTCCTGCAGAGAGGAACGATGAAGACCTGATTCCTGATCAGATCAGCGCTCTGCAGGCCCTGTGTGGTTTATCTACCATTCACCTGCATCCACTGCTGGTGACGTTAAACCTGAACATGTCACAGTCTGCAGACCGTGGATCATTTAGATGCTCTGAAATGATTGCTGACTGGTTTTGCTGCTAAGCTTATTTCAGGGATTAGTTGAGAACAATCCAGCTAAAGTGGAGCTGATTCCATGATCTCAGCCCTGAGAGCATCGACAGCCTCACCTGTGTCTCCACGGTCAAGCAGGACCAGAGAGCCAGCACTGCCCTCCAGCAGTCCGCTCAGACACTCCAGGGTCTCTGCTGCTGCCAGGTTGATCTCATCCAGCAGGATCCAGTGGCCCTTCTTCACAGCCTGGGCTAAAGAGCCCTGCAGAACACAGAACGAAGATCAGTGATGCAGCGGTGAGCGTGCAAGAAGGAGAGGCTGAGGAGACGTTTTTACCTCCACGAAGGCAAACACCATGGCCGTTTCACAGGCTCGGATCTGCTGCTGCGTCTGGCTCAGTTTTAAAGTCAGAGCCTCCCACTGCCCCAGTAGAGAGGAATCTGCAAGCAAGAGACCATGTCAGTGTTTTCCTGACCAGCTACAGCCTTCTGCCTGTCTCCTCCTTCTGGTGGACTACCTCCAGCCTTTTCTTCCAGCTCCTTAGCTAGAGCAGACTTGCAGACGTGGTCCATGAGTCGAAGCAGATCCTGCCAGCGCTTCTCTCTAAAGCAGGTCTGCACGTGGCCCAGGAAGGTCAGGTTCTGCTTCCGTGAGTAGGTCTGGGAGAACAGCTCTTCAAAAGCCTCCCGCAGAGGCAGCAGGATCTGACGGTGGTCTACTGGCTTGTAGCTAAGAAAATAAAAAAGGATGAAAACAACAAAGGTTCATAAAAAAGAATGAAACAAATGAGAAAGAACCTTCTTTAATGTTTCTAACTATGGTGTAAAGCTGCTGATTTAATAAATTTCTTTGACACAACTATTTATGCTGATAAACCACAGAGTTATTCTTTGAAACCTGTAACTTTAAAACATCAAACTCAAACAATTTCAGAACGAAGTAATACAAAAACAAAATTTGTTTATTTAATCAGTAAGAAAACAAACCCTAACCTGGACATACAGGGATACGCAGCGTTTTTAAACTTTCCTTTGATAAAGCTTCTAGTTAGAGTGGCTTAGGTTATCCTGAGCTATCTCTATAGTTATGCTGCCATATGCTTAGACTGCTGGAGGACATAGGGACCCCTTTTTCATCATTCTGCTTCATTCTATCTCTATTCTCCCACTCTGCAGAATCTATTAGATCAATCTCTAACGTTCTGCTCTCTCTGCTTTTTCTCATAGTAGCTTCATCTGGTCTGTTCCTGTTTGGCTGTGACTCCATCCTGGAGAGAAATATCAGCTGTATTGCTGCCATCAACACCTTTGTTTATAGATGTTGGAGATCAGCCTGTTTTCCAGTGTAGTCCTGTTTCTCTGACTGTGACTGGCTGGATGTGCTCTCTTCATCCTCTGACATGGAAGCTGGTTCAGAGTTTGTCTGCCTGGCCGCTCACACTGAGCCTGGTTCTGCTGGAGGTTTCTTCCTGTTAAAAGAGAGTTTTTCCTCTCCACTGTCGCTACAAGCATGCTTAGTGTGAGGGATTGCTGAAGAGTCAATGAGTCGATGCAATCAACTGGTTTTCCTTAGACAGAAAACTTTGAATCAATCTGACTGGATGATCTGGTGAACTGGAAAGTGCCTTGAGATGACATGTGTTGTGAATTGGAGCTATAGAAATAAACTGAATTGAATTGTTAGTATATAAAGAAATTGCTCCATTGCTCCCATTTAAATCCGCTTTCCTCATCGACATGAGAGGAAAATAGATTTTACAGGGATTGATCATGACAGCTGCAGGCAGAGAGAGGAGAAATGAGGGGGGATGTGTCCCCTGCACTTTTTCAAATGTCTGTTTTGGTCCCTTGCAGGTTTTACTGTCCAAAAACAATGTTAAGCTACAAGTACACAGGCATTTGATGAGCACTAGGACCAAACAGAAAACTGCCGGTCAAACTGAAGCCAGCTTCCCTGAGTTTAGACTAGTGTTGCGTAGATATGCACGGCCCACATGGATGCATATAAAAGTCAGCCTTCCTCTAATGAACCCAGAAGTTTGAACTAACTGCTTTATTAGATCCTCTAATTGCAGCTGATCTATATAATCCTGAAAATATTCTGCACCTTTAGCAGGAATCTCATTTGCTGCAGAGTTCAATTATATTTTTTTAATTGAAAGCAATAAAAAAAAATGTTTTTTTTTTTATAACCGTTCTGTTTTTTATGTGTGCGGTTTAACCCCAATGAGCCCACAGTCAGTGGACCTGCGTATCTCTGGATTAGAGCATCCTGAGGCTTTAACTGACTTCCAGACTGGAGAACAGCAGCACCAGGATTATAACTACAGATTTCCTGGTGACATTTTGTAAACTGGGTTTAATTTATGCTTTTATTTTATTCATCTGCAGCATTTAGTTCTGTAAAAGAGGAGAAAGTTTTTCCTGCCAAACAGGGACCAGCGGAGCACTGTGCTCCAGTGATGTTCACCATGTGACTCATCTGCTCACGATGATTGAGCACCTTTCAGAGGTTCACTCACCCTCCAAGAAGGTCGGCGGTGTCACTCTGCTGGTTCATGTTCACCACACGCAGCTTGTGACCTGAATTAAGGCGACATCAGAAGGCGTTAGGAGAGAAGGAGCCAGCAGGGAGGCTCCAGACAGCCTGAACTCACCAGTGATGGAGGCCAGGTGTTGCACGGTGGAGGTCTTTCCTGTTCCGGTCTCTCCAACCAGGAGGACTGGCTCCCCCTTCGCCACACAGACAGCCAGCTGCTCCAGCAGGACGGCGGCTGGTCGGGTGGCGGCGAACGTCTGCTTACTGCATTGGCTGAAACACACAGCAGACATGATGCCTTTCCAAAGCCCCTATTGAACCATGCCTGGGTGGTCATAATGTTCTGGCTGATAGGAGCGTGCCAGTGGAACATATTTCCAGGCCAGAGGTTATCACCCGCTCCTTCCTGCCTCTGGGTGGATCAATGGGACTATTTGGACCGCTGAACCATTAGATGACTGTTTACCAGCAGATAGTTGAAAATCAATTTGATGTTGGTTCAATTCACCAGCAGGGGTCTGCTCAGCTCTGGAGGCGGAGCGGTGGAAATAAGGCGAGCGGGCAGGGTGCCCCACTTACAAGCTCAGCTGCACGGCCTCGGCCTGCTTCCGGGTCAGAGCGGCTCTGCCCACCGCCGCCTGCAGCTCGGTCAGAGAGACGCTGGGCTGATACAGCTGGCAGAAGTGCTGCGCCTGGAAACAAAGCCTCGGTCAGCTCCTGACCTTCACCTGCTTCCCATCAGAAAACTTTCTGCTTTCTGGGACAGACCTTCTCCTTGGAGATGTTGAGCTTGCTTCCGATGATCTCGGCCATTCGCAGTCTGCTAGCAGGGAGGGACAGCATGGCGGTGAAGCAGTCCAGAGCCTGAGGCAGGACAAAACGAAAGCAGCACACAGGTCACTGAGGTGCTTTAACTCTGGAGCACATCAGTCACAAACCAACTGACCTCGAGGAAGACTCGCTGAGCTGTGGCAGAGGAAGAGCTGTCAAAGTTCACACTGATGCGCTCACACCACTTCAGCAGGTCCCTGTTCCATCCAGGTCATTTCACCCATTCAAAAGAAAAGATTCACTTTAGTTCCAGATAAAGTCCATCTGCCTGGTTCCTATTGGCAGGGTGATGTAGAAATATGATGCATAGAGAACATTTGGATTCAATCCTGATCATGTCTGATCTCCTCGTTTTAACACCATTTCCTGTCAAATCCAGACTCAGCCATGCTAACAGGTTTTCTATCCATCAGTGAACCGGAACCAAACCCCAGAACCAAACTGTGTCGTTCATAGGTCTGGTTCCTGTATCATAGCTTCCCGTATTGGACCGATTGATCAGAGCTGCTTCTAAACCAGCAGCTTGGAGCCAGAAGTTTGGTCAAAATATCATCATTTCAGAAATGTTTCAAATGAGCTTTCAGGTTGTTTTTTATTTTTGTTCCACTGCTGATCCTTTGGCATGGGGGCGGGGCTTAGAGCATAAAGACAGTTCAGCTGCCTCCATTAAATATTCCCAGCATTCAGGAAGCATAGGAACTATAAATGTCCTTAAAACATCATCAATATCCAAAGTTTCTATGACTGGTTCAGAGAACTAACCTGCTGCACTGGTCTAGAATACTAGAATACCAGCAGCTGCTGCAGTCAGTGGTTCCACTGCACTCAGAGGATTGGAAATAACCAACGTGGACTGAAAAGCTGCACAAATTTGTCATTGTTTTCTTTTTAAAATATCCAAAGTTCCCACGGTTCCTGAATGCATCAGATGGGCACATTTATTCCAATCACCAAAACTGTCAGTCATCATTCCAAAGCCATGTGATCAAAGCCCCGCCCCCACACCAAGGGATCAGCTCTCTGACACTGAATATAAAAAAATTATCTTAAACATTTCGGTTTCAGTTAAAACATTTCTAAATATTTATTTTCCGGTTCAAAAACATTTCTTTGAACAAACTTTATGGCCCCGATTTAGTTCCACCATAAATAAAATCCATCCCAGATTGTCTCCTGACTGCAGAAAGAGACGTGCAGCGAAGGAGAGCAGGGGGAGGAAATTCAACACTACAAAAAAACAAAATCTATATGTTTTTTATTGAAATAAGTGCATTTTTTTCTTGTATTGAGGAGGTGAGACATTTTTCCAATGGAATAACATAAGAAAAAATAACTGCATTGTCTTTTTTCAAGTGCATGTTTTCTAATAATCTTATTTTAATAGTATAAACACTCATTCCACTGGCAGATCATTTTATTTACCTGCTCAGATTAAGGGTTAATACACTTAATTTAAGACATGTTGACTTATTTCTAGATGCTTTTTGCAGCACTGGAAAAATTATCATATATAAGTAAAACTTTCTTAAATTAAGTGTATTTATCCTTAATTTGAATGAGATAGTTTGCCAGTGGAATTAATATTTTTACTTAAATAAGATAATTAGGTAAAAACAACTTGAAATAAATCATCTTGTTCCATTTGCAAAATGTCTGTTTTTCCACCTCAATCCAAGAACAAATGCACTTATTTGAAGAAAAAAATGACTTATCTAGATTTGGATTTTTTCCAAAAACAAAAAAAAGAAAACTGGAATATTTTTTTTATCACACCACAAACTCCCAGTAAGCAAACTAAAAGCCAACAACCATGGAGAGTCTGAGAAAAACATGAATTTGCACCAAACAGACAGTTTTGGAGTTGTGAGGATACGATTCGCTCATCTGTCTGCAAGATGTTGATGCATCAGATGCAACGTTCTCCTCAAGCTTTCTTCCTGCAGGAAACTATGCATCAGAAGAACTGAGATATTCTAAAAATCTCAGAGTGTTTAGGAGTGAAACCCAAACAAACAGACAATGGCTGCACATCACAGAAAATATCCCAACAGAAAGACTCAGCAGCTTCATATGGAGGAAAAGACTAAATGGATTTCATGAAAAAGGAAAAAAGGAGTTTAATCACAGGTCTGAAGGGAGGATAATTCTGGCCATGGTGTTTGTTTGTTTTTAATATCACTTTATTTTTATCTATTCTACTTTTTTAAGTATAATTTTTTCTTTAATCCATATTATTCGCTTTCATTAAATTGTAAAATGTAAAAGTTAAGAAGATCAAGAAGAGAAATTTCTCAAAAAAGAAAAAGAATAACAAGCCACTAGTGCTGAAAAAAACAAAAAAACTAAAAAAAAGAACAAGAGAAATTATTGATTTGCGATCATTTTCACATTATGACTACAATTTATAATTAGAATAAAAATGATATTTTCAATGAATAATTAACTGGAGGAGGAAGCTGGAGCCATGAACAGACGACCAGAGATCCGGGATGCTAGTAGTGAGTCATGTTCACTAGCGTGAACTTTACATGACCTGAATCGGTTACCGTGGTAATCAGGTCTAACTTAAAGGTGTGAACTGATGAGCGGCTACTGAGCGAGTGCGATCAGCAGCAATCTGGGGGACGGCCCGCTCCCTCCCACCCTCCACAGACGGTCGGATCAATACGCCATCGAACGCTGCAGCAGCAGAAAGCTAATTAAAGCCAGAGTAGCCGAGCTGCCGTCCGCTGCTGGAGTCGCCTGAGGTCACATTATGATGAGGCGATCAGAGTTAGGAGCCTCTCCATCCAAGTTCAAACTTTAAGTCTTATTTAAACCCACAGCGGGTGAAAAGGATGGTTTTTAAATCAGACTCATGTCTGAATGTCAGGTTCTATTTCCCACGAAGCCCATATTTCACCGTTCATGGAAGACAGATAAGAAATCTAATTATTTCAAGAATCCCAACAAGAAGTCGTCATTTGGAAACTGGAGGATTGTCCAGGATCTGCTGACTGAATCCACCGCTATGAAATCATACAAATATTTATCAAGTTTCACAACAGGAATGAAAAGAACACAAGAAATACGTAAAAATTTCTTAGATTAAGTGTATTTAGCCTTAATTTGAGCGGGTAGATAAAATGATCTGCTAACGGAATTAGTCTTTTTATTCTTAAAATTAGATAATTAGATAATATTCACTTTAATAAAGACAATGCAATTGTTTTTTCTTATTTCAAATGTTAATTGTCTTGTGGCATTGGCAAAGTGTCAAACCTCCTTAATTCAAGAAAAAATGCACTTAATTTAAGAAAAAAATTACATGTTTAGATTTAGATGTTTTGTAGTGAAGGTTTCAGTGTTGTTGTCTGAAACAGGAGGTTTAACCACAGGGTGTGATTCTAGATAGGGCCCCTTTCAGTCGGGTCAGACAGAACCTTCCAAGGCCCTTTGCCCTTTACTTACTCTTCCACCTCTGGATCCTTTATTATCCTTATTGAAATATATTACCCACAATCCATTGCTGAATGTGACGTATTTCACAAAAAGGTGTAAATAATGAGGATGTTTAGTGATAGTATAGAAATAAATTCATCCGTACAGCAAGGATTATTAAACAACTGGTTGTTGGAGTTTAAAATAAATTTGTCTTTTAGCAGCAGGGCTCTAAAAACAGTGATGGGTTGCGCGGTTGTAGACGCAGGAAGGCTCAGACTGGGAATGATTTTGGGTCGTGGCATTTTCCCATCTACACGGGCCCACTTAAGTAATGGCAATAATAGCGCCCTTTCAACATTTGGGTGGCTGTGGGCTTACAAGTAGCCTGAGAAAAATAAATACAATCAAACAAGTGCCATGACTATGAAGCTGATCCTAGTGCGAAATGAGTTCCTAACTGTGTAGGGGCAGTGATAGCCATGCTAACTCTATAGGGGCAGTGATAGCCATGCTAACTGTTTAGGAGCAGTGATAGCCATGCTAACTATGAAGGAGCACTGATAGCCATGCTAACTATGTAGGGGCAGTGATAGCCATGCTAACTATGAAGGGGCAGTGATAGCCATGCTAACTATGTAGGGGCAGTGCTAGCTATGCTAACTCTGTAGGAGCAGTGATAGCCATGCTAACTATGAAGGGGCAGTGATAGCCATGCTAACTATGAAGGGGCAGTGATAGCCATGCTAACTATGTAGGGGCAGTGATAGCCATACTAACTCTGTAGGGGCAGTGATAGCCATGCTAACTCTGTAGGGGCAGTGATAGCCATGCTAACTATGTAGGGGCAGTGATAGCCATGCTAACTATGTAGGGGCAGTGATAGCCATGCTAACTATGAAGGGGCAGTGATAGCCATGCTAACTATGAAGGGGCAGTGATAGCCATGCTAACTATGAAGGGGCAGTGATAGCCATGCTGACTGTGTAGGGGCAGTGATAGCCATGCTAACTATGCAGGGGCAGTGATAGCCATGCTAACTGTGTAGGGGCAGTGATAGCCATGCTAACTATGCAGGGGCAGTGATAGCCATGCTAACTGTGTAGGGGCAGTGATAGCCATGCTAACTGTGTAGGGGCAGTGATAGCCATGCTAACTATGTAGGGGCAGTGATAGCCATGCTAACTGTGTAGGGGCAGTGATAGCCATGCTAACTATGAAGGGGCAGTGATAGCCATGCTGACTGTGTAGGGGCAGTGATAGCCATGCTAACTATGTAGGGGCAGTGATAGCCATGCTAACTATGAAGGGGCAGTGATAGCCATGCTAACTATGTAGGGGCAGTGATAATGTTATGAATGTGTGTCCTTTTTGCACTTTTTTTTTTAAAGCAAATGGTCTGTCATTTGCCTAAGGACATATTAAAATGCATTCATTGCAGGAAATAGTTATATGATGGTGCAGTAAACAGATATAAATTCATATAAAATTTGGTCGTGTTGAAAACAATTTGGCCATCTTTATCATGGAAGTTGCCCATCCCTGTTAATAGACTATATTAATTAGGCTTTGTATGCTCCCAAAAAAAAAACAAAAAAAAAACCCTTCTTTCTTTTTTTTTTAACAACTACACTACTGGCAGTGCGACTCTCCTGCTTTGCCAAAGCAACAATCTTTGCCTTAGTGCAGTGGTTCTCAAACTTTTTCTGTCATTCCCCACTTTGGACAAGGGGGAATTTTCAAGCCCCGCCTGTCCCCATCGCCCCAACACAATGCTAATGAAATATGCAACAATCTTAAAATTTTCCAATTTTATTGAAGTAACAAGTAGTATCTAAATACAAACTATCTACATCAAATAACAGCAAGCTCAAAAATAAAGAAAATAAAAATGCAGCTGTGTCAAAATTTGTATCAAGCTCAAAGATAGAAAAAATTAAAGTGCCACTCTGCAATCTGTTAATAAAAGAAAAGAAGTGAAATCCATCTGGCAATACAGGTCTATTTATCCCTGCATTAGTGGCTGCAATGAGCCTGTTTTGCATTGCACAGTTTCTCAAAATGGGGTTGCAGGCTTGATACTGCCACTCTCAAGTCATGCTCAATGTTCAGCTGAGATCTGTATTTTGTTTTCAGTGAAGCAACAGTTGAAAAGCCCATCTCACAGAGATATGATGTGGCAAAGGGAAGAAGAATGCACACAGCTCTCTGCCCGATGAGTGGAAACTCCCTCTCCACTCCAAACCAGAATTCACTATTAGTCTGAGCATTAAACCTGAGCCTCAGGGTGGAGTCAGACGTCATTTCAATAAACTGGTCCTATTTATTTAAGATAAAATATTTCAAATTCAGTTATTTATGATCAACCTGCGCCGTCAATCCCGGCGCATGTGCGCTTTATTTGCAGTCTGGACGCTGAGGGTAAACATGCTGTGTCTCTGCAGCGCTGAGAGGGACTCCTGCGATAGCGGGGGAGAACGGGGTTGGGACGGAGGCGCCCCACGGCAGCACCTGCCGCTGGAGGACAAGAAAAGGAACGATACGTGCTTTCACGTAAGAGTCTCCAAAAGTCGCTAATTTGTCGCTAGTCGCATCTAAGTCATATCTACAGGTGCTGGTCATAAAATTAGAATATCATGAAAAAGTAGATTGATTTCAGTAATTCCATTTAAAAAGTGAAACTTGTATATTATATTCATACATTACATACAAACTCATATATTTCAGATGTTTATTTTGTTTAATTTTGATGATTACAAATGACAACAAATGAAAATCTCAAATTCATCATATCAGAAAATTAGAATATTACTGAAGACCAATAAAAACAAAGGATTCATAGAAATGTTGGCCAACTGAAAAGTATGAACATGAAAAGTATGAGCATGTACAGCACTCAGTATTTAGTTGGGCCTCCTTTGGCCTGTATTACTGCAGCAATGCGGCGTGGCATGGAGTCGATCAGTCTGTGGCACTGCTCAGGTGTTATGATAGCCCAGGTTGCTCTAATAGTGGCTTTTAGCTCTTCTGAATTGTTGGGTCTGGTGTATTGCATCTTCTTCTTCACAATACCCCATAGATTTTCTATGGGGTTAAGGTCAGGAGAGTTTGCTGGCCAATTAAGAACAGGGATACCATGGTCCTTCAACCAGGTACTGGTAGCTTTGGCACTGTGTGCAGGTGCCAAGTCCTGTTGGAAAATGAAATCTGCATCTCCAAAAAGTTGGTCAGCTGCAGGAAGCATGAAGTGCTCTAAAACTTCCTGGTATGTGGCTGCGTTGACCCTGGACCTCAGAAAACACAATGGACCAACACCAGCAGATGACATGGCACCCCAAACCATCACTGACTGTGGAAACTTTACACTGGACTTCAAGCAACGTGGATGAAGTGCCTCTCTTCTTTTCCTCCAGACTCTGGGACCTTGATTTCCAAAGGAAATGCAAAATTTACTTTCATCAGAGAACATGACTTTGGACCACTCACCAGCAGTCCAGTCCTGTTTCTCTTTAGCCCAGGCAAGACGCTTCTGACGCTGTCTGTGGTTCAAGAGTGGCTTGACACAAGGAATGCGACAGCAGAAACCCATGTCTTTCATACGTCTGTGTGTGGTGGTTCTTGAAGCACTCACTCCAGCTGCAGTCCACTCTTTGTGAATCTCCCCCACATTTTTGAATGGGTTTTGTTTCACAATCCTCTCCAGGGTGCGGTTATCTCTCTTGCTTGTACACTTTTTTCGACCACATCTTTTCCTTCCCTTCGCCTCTCTATTAATGTGCTTGGACACTGAGCTCTGTGAACAGCCAGCCTCTTTAGCGATGACCTTTTGTGTCTTGCCCTCCTTGTGCAAGGTGTCGATGGTCGTCTTTTGGACAACTGTCAAGTCAGCAGTCTTCCCCATGATTGTGTAGCCTATAGAACTAGACTGAAAGACCATTTAAAGGCTTTTGCAGGTGGTTTGAGTTAATTAGCTGATTAGAGTGTGGCACCAGGGGCCATCAATTTTGAACCTTTTCACAATATTCTAATTTTCTGATATGATGAATTTGAGATTTTCATTTGTTGTCATTTGTAATCATCAAAATTAAACAAAATAAACATCTGAAATATATGAGTTTGTATGTAATGTATGAATATAATATACAAGTTTCACTTTTTAAATGGAATTACTGAAATCAATCTACTTTTTCATGATATTCTAATTTTATGACCAGCACCTGTAATGTTCTTTTAATTAGACTGCATGTAGGCTAGTAATGATTACTTTGTGGGTTTGATTGGTCTAAAAAGCGGCAACATACAGCTATAAGGACAGTTTGCTCTCACACATTCTACATTTATAGTCACACACACACACACACACACACACACACACCGGAACTTGGCGCGCCCCACCTGTCACGTCTCAATTCCCCACCAGTGGGTCGCGCCACACACTTTGAGAAACGCGGCCTTAGTGTGAGCTTTGACTGGTGTTTGGGTGGATGCAGGGTGTAGCAGGTGTCTATGGAAACACCCTCACCTTACTGACAGAGCCCTCCCCTCCAATGAGCTGCTTTTGTCCTCAGGCTGTTCCTGCTGTCTCTCCGATGAGGCCTCCATGCTGCTGGGGTCCACCTCAGAGTGTCTGTCACCCGTCAACTGGCAGTAGATATCCAGGAGACGGTCTGACACCACCGCCAGCATGGGGTACCTGTGGACCAGGACCTAGAAAGGGCAGGTGGGCGGAGGAATGGATGATGGGGGTCAGATGGCTCTGATGGAGACACAGCTGCAGGATATAACTCACCTTCTTCAGCTCTGCTTGGCTCATGTTCCCCATTTGCAGCTTGGTCCAGTACTTGTCCAGCAAAGCTGCATGGGAGTTCTGTGGTTTGTGCCAGTTGCCACTACTATAGTACATCCTGCGAATAAGAATCACAATCAGTGCTGGTTTCAGGTGCATGAGGGTCCAGGCTGGATTTATGTCTCCATTGATGAGTGACAAGCGTCTGCATGATTTTATAAATCTTCTCTATAGTATATAGTATATCCCTATAGTTATGCTGCTATAGGCTTAGACTTCTGGGGGACATAGGGACCCCTTTTCTTCATTCTATCTCTATTCTCCCACTCTGCAGAATCTCTAACGTTCTGCTCTCTCTGCTTTTCTCATAGTAGCTTCATCTGGTCTGTTCCTGTTTGGCTGTGACTCCATCCTGGAGAGAAATATCAGCTGTGCTGCTGCCATCAACACCTTTGTTTCTAGATGTTGGAGATTGGCCTGTTTTCCAGTGTAGTCCTGTTTCTCTGACTGTGACTGGCTGGATGTGCTCTCTTCATCCTCTGACGTGGAAACTGGCTCAGAGCTCGTCTGCCTGGCTGTTTGTTTCCTGGACGGGGCCGCCTTTTACAGCTGCCTTTTTTTTTATCCCTGCTTCTGTCTCCTTGAACCCCAGTCGGCCTCAGCAGATGGCCGCTCACACTGAGATACCTCCAGCAGAACCAGGCTAAAGTTAAAAGGGAGCTTTTCCTCTCCACTGTGCTTAGTGTGATGGATTGCCTTCAACTCAATGAGTCGATGCAATCAGCTGGTTTTCCTTAGATAGAAAACTTTGAATCAATCTAACTGGATGATCTGGTGAACTGTAAAGTGCCTTGAGATGACATGTGTTGTGAATTGGTGCTATAGAAATAAACTGAATTGAATTAAATGCACAGAAGAGAATCACCTCGGAACTTTAAAAATGAGAGTCAACAAAAAGAAACGTTGCAGAAAACAATAGTTTTTGTAAATATGAGAATAAATGAAAGCAAATCAAAGCTGAGCAATGATCAGACCAGACGAGCTGCAGTCAGTTCTTACCGTCTGGTTGCAAAAAACTGGAATCCAGAAGCAACTTCGATGCAGTCTTCCCGTCCTGGAATCATCAGCTTTCTGTTCTCCATCAAAGGCAGCAGGACAGAAATCTGCAACGCACATTTAGCTTCACCTATTAGTGGTAATAATTGACTAAAGCAGTGAGTGGAAGAGGAGGATGTCAGTGACCCACAGCAGGTTTCCTCAGCAGGCGGTGAACTCACCACGTCCAGAGGTGCATGGTCAATGTCTTCCAGCAGGATCCAGAGGCCTTTGGAAACAGCCTGTGTCAGGGTTCCTGGCTGCCACACAAACTTCCCTGGTACGTCGGTGCAGCGGTACATCCCCAGCAACATCTGCAGAAACCAGACCTTACTCTTCCAGCGTGCTGTGAACGGATTCTAAGAACCTCAGAGCTTCAGCCCAGGAGAAAAAACAAAAGCTGGACGCTTCTCTCTCACCTTGCTGTCGGTCTGATCCCCCAGCTGGACCTTCAGAATGTCTGCAGCTTTGGTGTGTCCGGTTACGGCCGCCATGAACTCCACCAGAGCGGTTTTCCCGCAGCCGATCGGACCTTCCAGGAGCACGGCTTTGTGGGAAGCCACGGCCAACGCCAGCCTCCTCAGGTTCTGGCAGGTGGAGTCCACCAGGACCAGGTTGGTGTCGACCTGGAAGCAAAAACCCACATCAAGAAAAACAAACCAGGACACAGGAGAGCATTTTCTCCATGGCAGCATCTCACACCTGATCAACGTGTCGGGGAGCCATCCTGGGCAGAACAACCCCGCACACAGCTACAACGTTTGGGGACAGGTCCTCTGACACTACCTGGCCCCTGGTGAACCTGTGAGCCAGATCCTGGTGCCACCTCACTGATCTGGGATTGGCTAACACCAGAGCCTTCTCTGCCTCCATCTGCCGACTTTCCTCCAAAGCTCTGGACAAGCAGCAGAGATGGGAATCAGTTAACAACAAAAACACAAAGATGGTCTTCACTTCTTCTTTTTTTCCTTTTCGAATACTTTATGTAAAGATTTTCAGTTATACAGTTACAAAACACACAGGATGGATCAGGGATTTATTCACATATTGAAAGTATCTGTGGCTATGCCAACCAGTGGCATGTTATTCCACGGAAGCCAAAAAAAACAAACAGAATAAAACAAAAACAAAAAAAAACTTGTTCAATATATCAAGGTATATGTACAAAGAGTGAAATAGAAATCTAAATACACGATGTTCACATGGCACAAACATTAATCTAAATACACGATGTTCACATGGCACAAACATTAATCTAAATAAAGACATACTAAGGGTTGTATGTACACATACCCTTACATACATAATGGCGTAAATATCGGTAAGCAGATACTGCAGTTGTTTAGGGGCCCCCGACTTTTAAGGGGCCCCGTCACTGACACCTGGTTGGCCCCGTATGCAAATGTAGACTAGGACGTCTCTTTGCAGATGTAATGGTGCGAAAAATTTATCTTAAACCCACCTGATGCTGAAGTGACTGACCGCACCATATTTATACAGCAACACATGGCAGATTTCAGCTTGATGGTGAGCCGTTTAAACACGACACCAATAGCAAAGCAGACAGTGGGACTTCTAATTACTATCTTAATAACTGTGTATAGTTAATTAGACGGTTGGTAAGAATACACTCTTAATATGTTTTAAACCGCAATAAAGATCTTAACAGAACAATGTTTTTGAGTATTTTATTATTTTACACTACGGCTTGGAATGATGGGTAATCCAGAGCGTAGATTAAAACCATAGCTGTTATGTACAATTTGTTAGCGACCATGGATACAGAAAAAGAGGTTCGATAAGCATCTCCCTGAAATGAGCTTTGGGATCTTGGGATGTCTCTAACATGTGGTGGTGCGCTGTCACTAATGGTTCCATTCAAGGTGCGCAGTCACTATTTTTCCGTGTGTGATGTGTGATCATATACTACTGAGAATTGCATGATCTTCTTGGCCGATTGATGGAACTGTCTCAGTATTCTGAACCTTTATCACGTATGGTATATCTATGGGGCCCACCCAGATAATAATGCTTACTGACAACAAAATTATTTTTATTCCGCCTGGATTCCACTCAATATTAGCAGATTATTGAGAATAATGTTCAAGAATCAGTTAGGAAGTTGAATTTATGCCGGGGATGAATATTACATTAAGACAATGATCCAAATCTACTCAGGCATTCATGCAGAGGAACAATTCCAATGTTCTGGAATGGCCATCCTAATCCCCACACCTGAACATCATTGAACATCTGTGGGATGATGTGGAGCAGGCTGTCCATGCTCAGCCACCATCAAACTTAACTGAACTGGAATTGCTTTGCCATGAAGAATGGTCAAAAATCCCTTCATCCAGGATCCAGGAACTCATTCAAAGCAGCAGGAAGCCACTGGAGGCTGTTGGTTTTGCAAAAGGAGGATCTACTAAATATTAATGTCTCTTTTTTCCTGAGGTGCCCATTTTTTTTCACCTGTTGCACATTTGCACATTTTCTATTAGTCCAATAAACCTAAATTCAACACTGAAAAATTACTGGGTCCATCAGTTATTAGATATATATTGAGCTGAAATAGCTGTTGCAAACACCTAAATAATTGGAAATAACAATAATTAAGATTAATAGAGGCGCCCAAGCGTTTTTATATGATTTTATATATATCTTAAATACCAAAACGCTGTAGTACTCTTTCACAATATCAATGAAGTATTTTGTATACCTCCTCCCTCATGTAAAGGGCAAACCCTCAGCGTACAGAATAAAAGGCCCCCATGTCTGATATTTACCTCTGTATATATTTAATAAGACGTTCTTCACTTCTGAGATTAAAAATCTACCAACATGGTGAAGGAGACCAGCTGCAGGAACGCTCTAATCTGACGCCGCAGGAACAGATCCTCACTTACTTTATTTTCATGTGCAGGATCTCGTCGTTCGTCAGAACCTTCCTCAGGAAGATGGCTTTCTGGTTGTCAGTCATGTGGCAGACAAGCGCTAAGCACTGAGCCGTGGACCTGCAGGGGAGCAAACGCCTGAGTGAGCTGCTGGGAGGGATCATTTCACAGTCTGTTCACTGTTTGGGACATAAGGAACAATCAGATCTCTGATATCAGATGGAGCTTGGCCATTTAAGGCTTTATATGAGAGAAGGAGGATTTTAAATTCTATTCTGTTAAAACAAGGGAGTAAAATTTAAAAAAATAATCTGATCTTTTCATCCTTGGCTGAGTAGAGAGGCGTGCTGCAGCCCATGTGCTTGTTTTATTCCTACACTGAGACAAACCTACTATATTCTAATTATAAAAGTTATTTCCAATATTTTCAGAGGTAAAACTGACTTCATAGATAAGCCATAAGCCAGATTATGACAGATTAAGCTCCATCAAATGGATTTTTACTTCAGCTTCTCTCTCCGGTGCCAGACTCATGCTTCAGTCAGGAGCAGCTGACCCGCTGCAGCTGCAGGAACAGTTCTTGTTCGTTTGTCATAAAAACAAGCCCACTTCTATAAAAGGATTGTTTATGACTGATAGTTTCAAAGCTTATACACTACTGTGACTCTCAGTGTAATGCAGCCAGGATTCCTGAATCAGGGGTTGAATTCGCTTCAGATCAATCAGAATAATTAATTCTCCAGGTGTTTCATTGACGCTCTGGATCTATGGACTGATCTACTAATGAAGGATCCATCTTAAATGTTCTCCAGTCTGAATTATAGAGCAAACATTCCCAGTATTTCCAGTCTACCCACCCCCGGACCATGACATCACTGGTCAGTAGCTGTGAGACGCAGGGACTCCAGTCCCACAGCTTCCGAAACGTTGCACAGTCGCTCTGGAGGAAGCGCAGCGTGGCGGCCATCAGGTCGCGGAGCTTCATCCTCCTGGGGCCATACCGGACAGCCGCTGACTGTTCGCTGGTGAAGAACAGCCTCTGGAACACCGGGGGGGCACTGCTGAAGTACCGCACAGCGAACCTTGGATAGAGGAAAGGAGGAACGTCAGCGTTTCTACCTTTCTGCACACAGCAGGCGTGACAGGGCGCACTTACGCGTGGGCGTCGGGGCTGATGCTCAGGAGTCGACTGAGAGCCACACACAGGCGCTCATGGAGGTCGTGGTTTATCCTGCCGCCAGCTTTGACCCGGTACGCACTGCGCTCTAGCAGGTCGAGGATCAGCGGGCGGACGTGACGGGCGACCAGCAGAGTGTAATCCTTCTCCAAGAGGAGCTGAGCCAAATAATCCAAAATGCTCTGCCTGTCCTGCTGAGTCCATATCTGCAGGAAGGGAGGGGGGGTGAAACACAGACAGTCTGTCAGCTCCCTGCAAACCACATGTGTCAGAGTCAAGGCCCCACTTTAATTATCCCAGCTGGGCTGAGTCGGTTGTCTAAGGAGGCGTAGTGCAATAACTGCGCTCTGCAACGGCTGCGCACCGCGGTCAGCAGAGGCTGAAGCCAAGATAAAAGGAGCCTGGATGGAGGGAGGGGCGGAGCTGCAGGTGATAGAGATGGACAGCTGCTAAGCGAGGGGCAGGTGGGATCTGCACGGTACTCTGATGGAGATGTAGCGCTGCTTACAGGCGTGGACCTCTGGACTGACGGAGCCCCTCGCTCAGCAGCGTGTCCGTCTGTATCCCCTGCAGCTCCGCCCCTCCCTCCATCCAGCCTCCTTTTATCTTGGCTTCAGCCTCTGCTGACACCTGTAGTCTGTTTGATTCTTAGGTCCTTTTTGACGTTGCTCTGCTTTTTGTTTAATAAATTTCTTTTTTAAAGAACCTCAGGCTGAATTCTGTGTCTGCTGCTGTGATTTTTCACAACATTTTTACATTTCTTTGTACAAGACCTGATTTTTCTCTGAAGGAAGTATGGTTCTGTCTGTAAGCCATAGATTTTTGTATTTTATTTTATTAATTCATATCTTGAATGGACTCCGGGACTAATACAGATAGGACCCATGAGAGAGAATACAACTGATCTGATTTTTTTTCTTATTTTAGTATTTGAAAGCAGTGATTGGTAGGATCATAGAGCAGCACAGTAATGCATTTTCGGTTTATAACGCATGCACTTTCATTTGTGTAATTATCTTAAGTATATTAATATTTAGTTAAAAAAAAACAATGTCATAGGTCTTGGTTCAATAGGTTATGTTAATTTCAATATGCTTTAATAAACATTTAACCAGTCCAGCCCTCGGCTGGTAGCAAATTTGTGTTTTTGGCCCTCGGTGTATCCGACATCCCTGCTGCAAACCAATCAAAGCTTCGAGGATTGATGGAGTTCAAATCTGCATCAGGATGAGGAAGAAAGGAGTTAGAGTGAGTGCGGCATAAATGTTAGAGCCACAGAGAAACTTTAGAAACTATTGCTCCTCTGAAACTTTGACGTCCTTCCACCTCTCAGCCTTAAAGAAAGTGGACTTAATAAAAATAATTTATGATGTTAGAAGCAATAATAATTCAATAAAAACAAAACAATAAAAGGCTAAACATTGTTTTCCGATCCATGGATGCTGAATGGGAGGTGGACTCCAGCAGAAGCTCAGGAAAACTGACTCACCGACATTTAATGGTTTCTAGGAGTCGTGGTTTTAGCTGCAGCATCTACATCACAGGATAAACATGGATCCATCCTAACTCACCTCGGTCCACCTGCTACCCGCTCTGTGATTCCACCAAGATCCAACTAGGCTCAAATATGACAATGGCTTAAATGGTACCAGAACAAACAAAAGTAAGTGTTTTTTTACAATATTGGTATAATTGATGCTCTAAGTGGGTCGCTCTGTCAGCTAAAGGCATAGTTTAGAGTCTCTATACTCCATTTAACGCTTGACTACTAAATCATTTCAATAATCGATTATTCAGATTAACAGTTTCAGCCCTAGAACAAACCCAACAGAGAACCTAAGGATGTGATTTATTGGCTGATTAATGAACAGCCCACAATACCAGCATCCTGTTAAAATGGACCAAATGTTCCGAAGAAAGTTTCTGGTACCTTCTACAGACTGACCTGCAAGCATGAGGTCTGCCCACCTTTATGTGGTACCTTCTATAGCCTGACCTGCAATCATGAGGTCTGCCCACCTTTATCTGGTACCTTCTATAGCCTGACCTGCAATCATGAGGTCTGTCCACCTTCATCTGGTACCTTCTACAGCCTGACCTGCAATCACAAGGTCTTCCCACCTTTTTCTGGTACCTTCTACAGACTGACCTGCAATCATGAGGTCTGCCCACCTTTATCTGGTACCTTCTACAGACTGACCTGCAATCATGAGGTCTGCCCACCTTTATCTGGTACCTTCTACAGACTGACCTGCAATCATGAGGTCTGCCCACCTTTATCTGGTACCTTCTACAGACTGACCTGCAATCACGAGGTCTGCCCCCCTTTTTCTGGTACCTTCTACAGACTGACCTGCAATCATGAGGTCTGCCCAGCTTTATCTGGTACCTTCTACAGACTGACCTGCAATCATGAGGTCTGTCCACCTTCAGCTGGTACCTTCTACAGCCTGACCTGCAATCACAAGATCTTCCCACCTTTATCTGGTACCTTCTACAGCCTGACCTGCAATCATGAGGTCTGCCCAGCTTTATCTGGTACCTTCTACAGACTGACCTGCAATCATGAGGTCTGTCCACCTTCATCTGGTACCTTCTACAGCCTGACCTGCAATCACAAGGTCTTCCCACCTTTTTCTGGTACCTTCTACAGACTGACCTGCAATCATGAGGTCTGCCCACCTTTATCTGGTACCTTCTACAGACTGACCTGCAATCATGAGGTCTGCCCACCTTTATCTGGTACCTTCTACAGACTGACCTGCAATCATGAGGTCTGCCCACCTTTATCTGGTACCTTCTACAGACTGACCTGCAATCACGAGGTCTGCCCACCTTTTTCTGGTACCTTCTACAGACTGACCTGCAATCATTAAGTCTATCCACCTTTATCTTGTACCTTCTATAGCCTGACCTGCAATCATTAAGTCTATCCACCTTTATCTGGTAACTTATACAGCCTGACCTGCAATCATGAGGTCTGCTCACCTTTATCTGGTACCTTCTACAGCCTGAGCTGCAATCATGAGGTCTGCCCACCTTTATCTGGTACCTTCTACAGCCTGACCTGCAATCATGAGGTCTATCCACCTTTATCTGGTACCTTCTACAGTCTGAGCTGCAATCATGAGGTCTGCTCACCTTTATCTGGTACCTTCTACAGCCTGAGCTGCAATCATGAGGTCTGCCCACCTTTATCTGGTACCTTCTACAGCCTGACCTGCAATCATGAGGTCTATCCACCTTTATCTGGTACCTTCTACAGCCTGAGCTGCAATCATGAGGTCTGCCCACCTTTATCTGGTACCTTCTACAGCCTGACCTGCAATCATGAGGTCTATCCACCTTTATCTGGTACCTTCTACAGCCTGAGCTGCAATCATGAGGTCTGCCCACCTTTATCTGGTACCTTCTACAGCCTGACCTGCAATCATGAGGTCTATCCACCTTTATCTGGTACCTTCTACAGTCTGAGTTGCAATCATGAGGTCTGCCCAGCTTTATCTGGTACCTTCTACAGTCTGAGCTGCAATCATGAGGTCTATCCACCTTTATCTGGTACCTTCTACAGCCTGACCTGCAATCATGAGGTCTATCCACCTTTATCTGGTACCTTCTACAGTCTGAGTTGCAATCATGAGGTCTGCCCAGCTTTATCTGGTACCTTCTACAGTCTGAGCTGCAATCATGAGGTCTGTCCACCTTCATCTGGTACCTTCTACAGCCTGACCTGCAATCACAAGGTCTTCCCACCTTTTTCTGGTACCTTCTACAGACTGACCTGCAATCATGAGGTCTGCCCACCTTTATCTGGTACCTTCTACAGACTGACCTGCAATCATGAGGTCTGCCCACCTTTATCTGGTACCTTCTACAGACTGACCTGCAATCATGAGGTCTGCCCACCTTTATCTGGTACCTTCTACAGACTGACCTGCAATCACGAGGTCTGCCCCCCTTTTTCTGGTACCTTCTACAGACTGACCTGCAATCATGAGGTCTGCCCAGCTTTATCTGGTACCTTCTACAGACTGACCTGCAATCATGAGGTCTGTCCACCTTCAGCTGGTACCTTCTACAGCCTGACCTGCAATCACAAGATCTTCCCACCTTTATCTGGTACCTTCTACAGCCTGACCTGCAATCATGAGGTCTGCCCAGCTTTATCTGGTACCTTCTACAGACTGACCTGCAATCATGAGGTCTGTCCACCTTCATCTGGTACCTTCTACAGCCTGACCTGCAATCACAAGGTCTTCCCACCTTTTTCTGGTACCTTCTACAGACTGACCTGCAATCATGAGGTCTGCCCACCTTTATCTGGTACCTTCTACAGACTGACCTGCAATCATGAGGTCTGCCCACCTTTATCTGGTACCTTCTACAGACTGACCTGCAATCATGAGGTCTGCCCACCTTTATCTGGTACCTTCTACAGACTGACCTGCAATCACGAGGTCTGCCCACCTTTTTCTGGTACCTTCTACAGACTGACCTGCAATCATTAAGTCTATCCACCTTTATCTTGTACCTTCTATAGCCTGACCTGCAATCATTAAGTCTATCCACCTTTATCTGGTAACTTATACAGCCTGACCTGCAATCATGAGGTCTGCTCACCTTTATCTGGTACCTTCTACAGCCTGAGCTGCAATCATGAGGTCTGCCCACCTTTATCTGGTACCTTCTACAGCCTGACCTGCAATCATGAGGTCTATCCACCTTTATCTGGTACCTTCTACAGTCTGAGCTGCAATCATGAGGTCTGCTCACCTTTATCTGGTACCTTCTACAGCCTGAGCTGCAATCATGAGGTCTGCCCACCTTTATCTGGTACCTTCTACAGCCTGACCTGCAATCATGAGGTCTATCCACCTTTATCTGGTACCTTCTACAGCCTGAGCTGCAATCATGAGGTCTGCCCACCTTTATCTGGTACCTTCTACAGCCTGACCTGCAATCATGAGGTCTATCCACCTTTATCTGGTACCTTCTACAGCCTGAGCTGCAATCATGAGGTCTGCCCACCTTTATCTGGTACCTTCTACAGCCTGACCTGCAATCATGAGGTCTATCCACCTTTATCTGGTACCTTCTACAGTCTGAGTTGCAATCATGAGGTCTGCCCAGCTTTATCTGGTACCTTCTACAGTCTGAGCTGCAATCATGAGGTCTATCCACCTTTATCTGGTACCTTCTACAGCCTGACCTGCAATCATGAGGTCTATCCACCTTTATCTGGTACCTTCTACAGTCTGAGTTGCAATCATGAGGTCTGCCCAGCTTTATCTGGTACCTTCTACAGCCTGACCTGCAATCATGAGGTCTATCCACCAATAACAGCGCTGTTTTCCTGCCTCTGATTTCTTTGATCTCACCTGTTTGGACAGATACTGGCTGATCTGGTTCCGACTCTTGTCCACATGTCTGGATATGATGGTCAGGGCAGACAGGCTGACTTCCAGGTTCTCCATTATCGGTACCGGTAACGGTCCAGTTCCGATCGCTTTATAAACAGCTAATCGATTCACAGGAACCCACGCAGGTCATAGCGAGTTCCAGTAACACAAACACGTTTCAAGCACTGCAGTTAAAATCCACATGTGAGGTGAGCGGTGACAGTTTCCGCTCCCTCTGTCGCGCCTTGATGACGCACCGGAAGCAGGCTCCCCTCAGCCCGAGCAGCAGCAGCAGCAGCCTGTTCTCCTCTTGCAGCCTTTCTGCTCTCCGCTCCTGTCTGTTGGCTGAAAATGTCAAACACCGGAGAGCTGCGGGACTCTGGGAGCAGCTGAACCTTTCTACCCGGACCTTTGCTTTGAGGGAGGGGGAGTTTATTCCTGTTCAAACCAGTTTGAGGACGGAGGCAGTCACCGCTGAAACGGAGGCAGACCGCGGGAAAATGTCCTTACTTCCTGTCTGATGAAGTCTTGGCGCGACTTTGGGTTTGGAGACATAAACAAAAGCAATAAAAGAACTGAGGAAAGTAAGTAAAAACATTTCAGTGTTTAGTCTTTAGTTTGTTTTCTCTCCAGTTTAAGAAGCTGCGCAGAAAGCGGCTCTTTGTTTGTTCTTTATCTATAAACATTTCCAGGTATAGTTCACATGTTTGATGTTCAGGAAATGTTCAAGTTCCTGACCTGGTAACCATAGCAACAGCTGTTTTTCACCTGCATTCAGCTCCACATCTACTGTGACTGCTGATTGGTCATGGTAATGAAGGAAGCAGACCCTCCACCAAACCACTACCACCTGAACACCCAGTCTGAAACAGCTCTGCTCAAAGTCAGCAGTGATATTCTCAGATTATGGCCCTGGATCTGTACATGTATCAATTCTATTCAGTTTATTTCTATAGCTCGATTAACATCACATGTCATTTTAAGGCACTTTCCAGTTCACCAGATCATCCAGTCAGATTGATTCCAAGTTTTCTATCAAAGGAAAACCAGCTGATTGCATCGACTCATTGACTCAGCAATCCCCCACACTAAGCATGCTTGTAGCGACAGTGGAGAGGAAAAACTCCCTTTTAACAGGAAGGAACCTCCAGCGGAACCAGGCTCAGTGTGAGCGGCCATCTGCTGAGGCCCACTGGGTTTCAAGGAGACAGAAGCAGAGATAGAAAAAGAAGCATAGATAGAAATGGATAGATGTAAACATATTAGTAATTAATGACGTGTGACCCTTGACTCCATCCCTGTTTGTTCAGCACAGATCTACATTGGCTGCTGGGCGATTTGTTGGTAGGAGAGGAAAACATGTTCAGTGGTTGTTAAAGGTGTCACATTGCAAAAAAATGTAAGTCTAAAAAAGTTATTTTTTTTCTTAAACTAAGTGCATTTGTTCTTGAATTGAGGTAAGTGAGACACTTTGACAATATAACAAGACACTTTACATTTAAAACAAGAAAAAGGAATATTGCATTAAGTGCATATTATCTTATTTTAATAGTAAAATACTCATTCCATTGGCAGATAATCTTATTTACCTACTGAAATTAAGCCTAAATACACCTGATTTAAGACATTTTCTACTTATCTCTAGATTGTTTTTGCAGTGAATAATGTATTTTCTATTAATAACAAATACAGAAATGAATAACTTTAGATTCTGTGATTTTTTCCTTTCGGTTTTCTGAAAACAAAACAAAAGCTAACAGCTTTTAAAAAATACATTTTCAGCCAATTCAATACCAACCAAAATCTTTTATCTGTGAAGATTCTGGATCTTCCAGGTGATGTTCAAGCTGAAAAGGTCCAGTTTAGGCAGCTGGATTTGATGTTTGGCCTCCGGTGGCTCTGATCCCTCCCAATAAAACGCCCCCAGGTGACCTCCATGTTCTGGCCGACTGTTGGATCTCAGTGCTGCATTTGATACAGTTGACCATAATATTCTTTTAGAAAGGCTTGAATATTTTGTTGGAATTAAAGGTACAGCACTAGACTGGTTTAAATCTTATCTATCTGATCAAATTCAGTTTGTTCACATGAACAAATCTTCAACACGCTCAAAGGTTACCTGTGGAGTACCACAGGGATCAGTGCTAGGACCAATTCTCTTTACTTTATACATGCTCCCAATCGGTAGAATTATTAGACAGCATGGGATTAATTTCCACTGTTATGCTGATGATACCCAGCTATATCTGTCTATAAATCCAGATGAAGCTAACCCATTACATAGATTACAGGCATGTCTTGAAGACATAAAAACCTGGATGACTCTTAACTTTCTGGTTCTGAATGCAGACAAAACAGAAGTTATAGTCTTTGGACCAGAGTCTCTGAAAAAGAAACTGATTAGCCAGTCACTTCATTTGGATGGGATTAAACTGATTTCAGATAATAAAGTAAAAAATCTTGGTGTTATTTTTGATCAGGACCTGTCATTTAAATCCCAGATCAAAGAGGTTTCTAGAATTTCCTTCTTTCATCTGAGGAACATTGCAAAAATGAGAAATCTCCTGTCCAGGGGTGATGCTGAGAAACTAGTCCATTCATTTGTTACTTCAAGGCTGGACTATTGTCATTCTCTACATTCGGAAGTCCACAAACTGTAGTTAAAAGCCTTCAGCTGATCCAAAATGCTGCAGCCAGGGTTCTGATGAAAATTAAAAAGAGAGATCATATCTCGCCTATCCTGGCTTCTCTTCATTGGCTTCCTGTTAAATCCAGAATAGAATTTAAAATCCTCCTTCTCACATATAAAGCCTTAAATGGCCAAGCTCCATCTGATATCAGAGATCTGATTGTTCCTTATGTTCCGAACCTGTATAACAACCATAGAGAGACGTGCTGCAGCATATCTGCTTCTTTTATTCATTCTCAGTCCAGATGAAACATTGGAGCGTCTAAATCTCCTCATGAAACTATTCTGTTCTGTTCTTGATTTTAATTCATAACTAATTACATTGTTGAATGTGTTGTTTTTTTTTTTTTTTCAATATTTCATCCAGTTACAGTAATTTCCATCTTCCTAGATTAGGAGGGTCTTCAGCAGCCTCTGTCCCACATGTTCAGGTGTCTCCCTGCCTCCAAACTCCTTACTTTAATTAGCAGGAGGATCTGCTGTCATAGGAAAAATAAACATCTGCTTTAGATCAGTTTTCATGTCTTAATTGTCTCATTCTTTTGAATGTTTAAGATTCTTACTAAAATCCTTACTTGTTTTTTCTAGGTTTTCGCCAAAAAGCAGAGCGATTTGAAAGGATGGAGTTTTGTGAAGTCTTTGGTTGTAAGTATATGTTTTATCTCTTTATTCTATGAGAGAATAGTTCATTTGATATGACTGGTAATTCATTGACACACTAAGAACGCTTGCAGCGATAGTGGAGAGGAAAAACTCCCTTTTAACGGGAAGAAACCTCCAGCAGAACCAGGCTCAGTGTGAGCAGCCATCTGCTGAGGCCGACTGGGGTTCAAGGAGACAGAAGCAGACATAGAAAAAGAAGCATAGATACAAAAGGCAACTGTCAACCAGCTCCACAGGCGGCCCCGTCCAGGAAACACACAGCCAGGCAGACGAGCTCCGAGCCAGCTCCCATGTCAGAGGATGAAGAGAGCACATCCAGTTAGTCACTGTCAGAGAAACAGGACTACACTGGATGTAATGCCCATGAAATGATGCATGTGCATCATTTCATGGGCATTACGAAGCATCAGTTAAAGCTTTCCCCCTCAGATGCATTGATGCTCCTGAGGGGAGCTTTAATATTACTGCCCACCCCAAAAAAGAATAAATAAAAAGAAAGAAGGTTTTTGGTGTCAGCAGATTGAGCGTCATGTCTACCAGGAAGTGTGTTGGTGGTGAACGTAGGGAGGATCCATCACCCTCCCCTTCTGGCTCACCCTATGATGGGGATGAAGTCTGGAGGAGAACTGATGGTTTCCTCCTGTGAACCCCCTTTATACCAAAACGCTGCCAATACGCCATTATACAGCAGCTGGAAGTTAGAAACACGTTCAGCGCTCGTCTGGAACACGTCAGATACCTTGATATGCTTGGAGAGAAGTTCTGGATAAGTTACTCAGAGGTTTAGGATAAGCTAGACGCCACGACTGGAAAGTTTGAGCATGATCCAAATTTCTCGCCGTATGTGGACGTGTGCCAGCGTGCTTCAGCGTGTCTTATCCATTGTATGCCAGCATTTTTGCCAAGTTTTTCCATACATCGGGCAGACGCTGGTCTAAATCATCAGCAGCTTTATGTCCTTTGTCTCCCCCTCTCCCCCCTCCTCTCCTGGGTTTGCTGCATCCCTCCCTCTGTGTGTTCCTCTACCATCTCTCATTTTATCCTATTTCCTAGTGACTCCACCCTTTCTATTAGTAAACCCATGAAAATACTGTTGAATATTGTTTTAATCACGATTGATTGTTCTTCAGTGTCTCGTTCAACAATAATGGAACATTTAGTTTGAAACTTGTACCTATATGATTGTTTAGAAACTATCCTCTCATTTCTAATGATCCTGACATGGTTTTATCCACAGCTGCTCCTCCCTGTGTTGATGAGGAGTCGGTGGATATCTACGAAGGCCTGGATGCTGATCTGGACAGCCACCCTGGTAAACATGTTGTTCATGTTTTATAACTCACTAATAGATGTCTGTTCTTTTCAAACTTCATGTTCTGGTTTGTCTCTACAGAACGACCCTCTCCTCAAAGCGCAGAGCTGAAGGACTCCATGGATCTCTATGAAGACCTTGTTGCAGAGGAACAGCTTCACAGAGAGTCCTCCTACACCGAGGTGAGGCGCTCTCATTGAACTCTTCCTGTTTCTGGGTTTGGGAAAAACTGAGTTATCCCATGAGTGGCATCTGTTTTCAGGCAGAACTTCTCTTTGCAGAAACTTTTTATTACCGCTGGTACTTCTGTTCATTTAACTCCATATGTTCACTTGGAGTTTACTAATGAAACTGGGTCATGATGAGGACTTTAGGCCGCCTTGCATGCTTTCTTATTTATGCTGAAGCGGTTCTGCTGGGTTTTTTTCTGTATGATATAAGGTGATATTAAATGTTAAATTCCCCTCATGGAACAGGACACCTCTCCAGCGCTGCTGTCAGTCACGTTTCTCCGCCCACTGCCGTCAGACTGGGGTCAAAATCTGAATGTGAAAGAAAATAAAAATCCTGAAAACTAAAAGGGAATTTGAAACAAAAAAAAGAAACTGACGGTAATAGATTTGACTCTGAAAATCTAAAATCTAAAACTGCACTAAAGGAAAAAAAATTAAAAAGTGTAATTAAAATACAAAACTGAATTTAGATTCAATTCTTATTTTATTTTTGCTTTTTTAGTTTACCTTACATAAGGTAAAAAAAATTCACATTAAATATCCACTTCCATGTTTTTGTTTTAGAAGTTTGCAAACATTTTGTCCCCTTTCGGACTCCATAGTTTTCCTGATTTTCAATGTTGCTTGGATCAAACTCAATCTGTGGCACAAATCCCAGCCAATCACTGCTGAGCTTCAGTAGTTTACAGATGCTGCTTAATGATGCTTGTAATAAACTCGTCAAGAACCCAGAAATGTGTTCTGATTCCTCCGGTGGCAAGTCAGGAAAAACGATGAGTGCCAGAGAACCTAATAGCTTCATTCGCTCAGAGAGAACAAGCGTATCGGTTCTATAAAGCCAAGCAGAGGCTGTGTTAGCCTGGTGCTCTGCCCGACTAGAGGTGATCCTCCACAGACATCACTAAACCAACGGGTTTTATGTTTGTTCAGTTTGCCGTTTCCTGCATGTGTAGCTTTAATATTTGTACAGCAGGTGACGTCTACCAGAAAGCACAGCTCTAAGTTTGCCTTCTCCTGTGTCTGTAGTTACAATCCAGGTTCGAGGCAGCACAGAAGCAAATCAAAGAGCTGCACACAAGACTGAAGCAGATGGAAATACAGGTTTGTTTCTGTTCTTTGGGCCATTCAATCCTGTTAAAGGTTCAGTGTCTTCCCTGCTGTTAAGATGTCAACATTAGACTCTAACTCAGGGGTGCTCAAGTCCAGTCCTCAAGAGCTACTATCCTGCAACTTTTTGATGCACCCCACTTTTAACACACCTGAATCAAATGAGTGGCTCGTTACCTTTCCTCTGCTGGGCTAAATGATGGATTGAGCCGTTCGATTCAGGTGTGTTAGAGAAGAGATGCATCTAAAAGTTACAGGATGGTAGCTCTTGAGGACTGGACTTGATCACCCCTGCTCTAACTTGTGTATTTATAATGTGTAATGCTAATAGAGTCCTGCTCAAAACAGGACTTCTGGAAAGCTCATCCAGGTCATAGTTGTTCCAAAATAGTTAAAAAACAGTCCACTTAGTTTCCAAGTTTGAAGATGTTTCTCTTCCATCCAGGAAGCTTTTTCAATTCAAAATGTCAGAAATAGTGTTGAGTTCCAGGTTTTATACAGCAGCCCAACAAAGCCTGGTTTTAGTTTAGAAAACATGCAAATAAAAGCGGACGAACGGGTCCCCCCCTTTGGAATGGGGGTCGTTTGGCTTCTTTGTTAGCCTGCAATGCCCCATACCTGTCTATGTCTCTGAAAGGGGGTTGTTAACGTCCTAGGGAAGCAGCCGTTCCAAACGTTGCATTTCCAAATTCTCCTGAATGGTGCCCGACTTTACAGGAGTGAATAAAGTGAATGTGATTGGTCGATTATCAAGGGGGCGGGATTGTTGTGGCAGAAGGTTTGTAAGCAAGTTTGATTGTGGCCGGTTTGTCGGAAGCATCTTTCTAACCAGTTAGCAACTTAGTGCTAGCAGGTTCCCAATGGGAAATTCCATTGGGACCAAGTAGCACTAAATTGGTGACTTAGAAACGACGCTGTCAAGGAACGCTATGGACAGAGGAAACATGCAAGAGGAGGAGAGTTTAGTGTCGGAGGTCGTGGATGAGTCTCCTCCGTCATCCATTTTTTATTTAGAGGAGGAAAGCGGGGACGAAGATGTTGTGGAAGAGGACGCCAGGGCGGCAGAAGCTTGGTTTGGTGTAGAAGGCTTCCAGCCGTACATGTTTGAGCCCTCGCCTCGCAACGCTGCCAGTTCTGTTAGCTCTACGCCTGCTGAAGACACAGACGTCCATCCCCGTGAACACTGGGACGCAACTCAATGAGAAAGGAAATGATACTGATTTCGATTTTAACTGTTGTGTATATTAGCTGCGACACATGAATCAAGATTGGCCGAATTTAGGTGTTCAGGCTGACGTAGAACGAACTGGCCTACATAAAATAACAGGAAAAAAAACACAGATTATTACACAGAATTTTTTTTTTTTTCATGGAAATTTTCTACCTTTTGGGACAATATGGTCTGATAAAGATTACAATTATATACATGTTTAAGTCAGGATGATTTGACATTTAAATATGACTTCCCTACGACTTTACAGGGAATTGTTGGCCTGGCTGAAAAGATGATTTCTTCTGTTCCCTTGTAAAGTGTTGGGGTTGCGATGACAGCGGGAAGGGATCAACTCGATTGCTGTGTTGTAGGTTTTTGAAAGCTGAAATCTGAGTCCACCCCCTCTATTAAAGGTTGTTGGGCTACTGTATAAAACCTGGAACTCAACGCGATTTCTGACATTTTGAATTGAAAAAGCTTCCTGGATGAAAGAGAAACATCTTCAAACTTGGAAACAAAGTCCAGTGGATTGTTTTTTTTTTTTTACTGTATTGGAATGACTTCTGGGATCAGGTTTATAAGGTTGTAGTGAAAGAATTTTGATCAACTAAAAATATTTTAGAGTTTTATTGAGCTCTTCAGATTTCAGGTCACAAGGTACAACGCTACAAAATAAGCTGCTAGCTTTTCATGCTAACATCTTGGTCTAAATTACAAGTATTGAAGCATTTTTGTGTGTCTGCCGTTTGTAGAACACTGTGCTGAGCACCGAGAACAACCGTCTTAAGAAGAACATCTCTTGCCTTCTGCGAACAGCGAGACAAGAAGTGGTTCGGAAAGATGCTGAGATACGGAGGTTGACTCAGGGGTGAGTGAGTCACCGCACCCTGAATGTGTTTCATTAATATACACAATATACCTGTAAATTCATTTGAAGTTTGTGTCTTCTTGGCTGTAGGGCGTTAGGACTTCATCACCATCATCGGCCTCAGATAAAAAGTACCAAGGATCCAAATTTGAGTGATCGGATCTCCACCTGCAGCTCCTCTTCACGAACGCAGCCACCGCCGCCTCCTCCTCCAATTCCCCAGTCTAAGGAGAAGCTTCCTGGAGTGGATGCAGCTCAACCTTCAACAAAAGAAAGCTGTCACTTCAACAGATCTATAAACCCCTCATCTCATAACCGTTCAAAAAGACAAGAAGCGTCTGAAAAACAGACGGAACCAGAGAGAAACAGGTCCAGAGACAAGGAGGACAAACAGGAAAATCACAAACTGTCCGAGTCAGCAGAAAGGAGGCTTAGAAATTCACATCATAACAAGGACTCTGAGCAGAAGCAGGTCCATAAAGAGGACAGAGACGCCGGGCAAGGCCACGCCTCCCGGTCACACAGAAACAAAGGCCAAACAGAGGAGAGACACAGCAGATCAGAGGGAGCTACGACTTCTTCACAAAAATACTCTGCAGCTTCCTCTGAAAGCAGAAAGGAGGAGCGTAAAGCTCAGCTCTCAGAAAAGCCTAGAAATGTTTCTCTGGAGGGGGATAAACTTACCGATAACCAGCCAGGAAGGAGCTCTAAAAGCCACAGATCGGATAGGTGGACTGATTCTAAGGACAAGAAGAGCTCCTCTCCAGATCAGCGTTCTAAGCACTGTGGTGACGGCACCAAGGGACGAGAAAAGGATCGGCTAGAAGATCCTCACAGAGGCGTAGATAGAAGGTGTAAGGATGAAACCAGGAGAAAGCATCGCAGCAGAAGCAGTCAGAGAGAGGATAAGAGAGAACGGAAGAAGCACAGAGATAAACGATCGGATAAAGTGGATTTATCCAAGGAGGGAAGACGGGACAGGAATCCTAAAGATGCCAAAAGCTCGTCTGATCAACCCAATCTAGAAACAAATATCTCTGTGGATGAAAATAACTCAAACAGGAAGTTGTGTTTCATGGAAACGCTGAATCTAACGCTTTCGCCCATCAAAAGGCACGTGTTACCCAGAGACGGCGGTCCAGACGACCCGGCAGAACTCGACCAGGCTGTTGGAGATGGATCCGCTGGGGAAAACACGCAGCCTAACATAGAAGACATGTGCGTCATTGATGAAGTAGACAACAGTGAGCCGGAAGAAGGACGTGCTGTGGAGCAATCCACAGAGGATCCTCAGGCCCCGAGTAACCAGAAGATCAGTAACACATTAGATGGAAGGGTTGGTCAGGAAATCGTGGAAGAATCTCCTGGAAAAATGCCACCTGTCCCGACCAGCTCCCCCCAGGGCCGACCACAGGATCCAGCCCAGGATCCAGCCCAGGACGAGCAGACGGGTCATCAGAAACACGGTGAGGAACACCCATCAGTGGTCTCAAACAACACCATGGTGGAACAAGGTGGACAGGAAGAAGGTGGACAGGAAGAAGGTGGACGGGAAGAAGGTGGACAGGAGGTCCCAGAGAGCCAGCAGATAAGCGACACACCTAAAGCCAGTGAAGTACACGCCTCAGAGCCAGAGCCCACGGTTGACCGTCCTGCTACAGAAGCTGCTTCAGAGGAAACTCCTCTTCCACTGGACGTTTCTCCTGAAGCTGCAGCACTGCCTCCACCGAAGGACAGCGAGGACATGATGGAGAAAACCGTAACTAAAGATCAGCAGTGTGGACAGGCTGAGATCAGTCAGGAAGATCCCTGCCTTCCATCTTCAACCAGCCGCGCCGAAGAGGATGAAAGCCCTAAAGACCTGGAATCAGTGTCCATCTGTCTGAACTCGCTTCCACAGGAGGGGCTGAGTCTAAAGGACGCCATTGATATCATGACACGTACGGCCGTAGACACCAGTGATGAGAGGACCGTCACCGGTCCATCCAGCTCTTCCGTTAGCTGCATCGTAGCATCCAAAGCTGGAGGTAAAGCTGAGGAGAATGTGTCCCCAGAGAAAGCCAGAACGCCCGCTGTTACACCCAAGAAGATCTGCAGTCAGGATCCGTCGGGTTCGGTGTCCTTACTTCACGATGAAGACTCCATGATGCACACGTTGAACAGTCTGAGGAGAATCCCTGAGGCCATCAGCCCGCTCAGGAGCCCCATACTGCCGGCTAAGAGGGGCGTCCCCCATTCGCACAGCAAGCTTGGACATGTCAAGAGTCTTCAGAGAGGTAATGTTAGCCAGATGATCTCCATGGTTACCCTCTCTGGTCGCTGGAGTAACTGTTGCACCTTGCTCTGCTTATTTTCATCTGGTCTTTATAACTTTAAACCTGCCGTTCTTAGACTTATACCTTTATCCTGCATCTTCTAGGCCGCTAGCTGCTCCTCTTAGACCATTTCTTTATGGTTCAGTTTTATTGAGAGCTTTGCAGCACATGACAACTGTTGCTACGTTCAGACCGCACACAGCAGAGGCAGCAGAAGCAGCTGGTTTACATGCAAAGTCAACGGTTGACGCGCATCAAGACGCAGCTAAAGGTCATGCACCGCGTTTGAGCAGTTGGAAAAATTGAACCTTAGCTGCTGGACGCGCCACATCAACCAATCAGAGAAGCTGATCTGGGAGCTGGCAGGGAGTCAGACACAGCACTGCTGATGAAGAGCGCTATGATCACTCCTCTGAAACAGGTTATTAACGACTAAATTAACTTAAAATGTACAAACCTGCTTTTATTATCCTGGTGCCTGCAGTTTAGATTACTTATGTAAAAAATGCTAAACTCTATTCCAGCCGCTGTGAACAGTAGCAGAAAACCACAAAGAGGCACCCAGGCTGCTGCTGCTGGGGATTCCCAGGGACAGCGCCCCGCCGGTGTACGGGGGTCTGAGCGGCTCCCACAGAGAAATAATAATTGAAGGCAGGATGGTAATCTGGATGAACTGACTGCACAGACCATGTTTTCAGGAGGACTTTCTCACTTCAACATAGATTTAAACTACTTTTTACTCACTGATCACAGCAAATATGGCTGCCATTGTTCCAGGCAAAGAAAGGATAGTGAAGCTCCGCCCAACGCGCATCAGACCCAATTTACCACCATGCAGCCAGAGCAGCAAAGATGCTTCAGCCGAGCGTCAGAACTAAACGTGTACAAGCATAAAAAATGCAGCAGCGACTTTTTTTCTGCTTCTGCTGCTTACAGACTCAAAGCTACGTATGCTACGTTCACACCACACACGGTTTCAGCAGCAAAAATGCTCCTGCTGCTTCATTTTTGATGCTTGTCCACATTAAGGTTCAACGTGCCCAAAGAGGATCTTTGACACTCCTGAAGCACGTCCAGTAAAGCGTCTCCAGATTCTCTGATGCTTCTGCTGCTTCTTTGTTCAATGCCAGAGAGCAGCTTTGCTATATTTGCTGTGATCAGTAGTTTTAAAGGAAACCATCAGCAAGGAATAATCAATGGATCATTATTTATACCTAAAACATTTGTGATGATTTAATGAATTTCAGTAAAAAAAATAAAAACAATAATTTTCATCATGATCACTGAGTCTGGGAACGGCCATTTTCCCCCAAATGCAGTAGCCCCTCCCTCCTGCCATCTTCCAGCAGTGACGTCACGGTGCGGTAAGCCTAGCGCCATTCTCCCCGCTTTACAAGCAGAATCAATGGGAACTACTAGACACATCTGCAATCAACAACAATTATTGAAGATTTCCAGAGGACTTCACCATTGAAATTCACCAGAGCTATAGTGAAACTGATAATGCCCACGTGCATGGCAGCTGGATGCTGGAATACATCGGGTAAAAGTGAAAAAAAAAGAGTTATTCCACCTTTCTGATTCCTGATCCTCCACGGACGGGTTGGTCGTTGGATCGCCAACTTGAAGAGGGAGGATTTGCCATCGAACTTCTGGCCAGAGAAAAAACCCGTAATATGTAGCCAACATTTGGAAGAAGAATGTTTTCAAGATGACTTGGATAATAGCGCGTTGTGACAAACACCAGATACAGCACTGGGACTTGATCAACAGCCGATACCGCACCGTGACGTCACAGACCAGTAGGTGGCAGTAGTGTTCTTTGACAAACATGGATGCCTCCAGTAAAGCACATTCACATGAACATTACTCTGAATTAAAAACACTGATCATTTATTGAACAGGATGGAATCATTTCATATTTAAAGAACTTTCAGAAGTTTGAATTCTGAATATGAATGGACCTTTCCTTTGATGTTTTTAAGTGAGAAAGTCCAAAGCTGCTTGTGAAGCATCTCATGTTGTCAGGTGTAGCTTCAGCTCCTCAGATGCGTAAAGATGTGCTGCTCCTGCAGCTCTAGACGCGCTGCTCCTGCTGCTCTAGACGCGCTGCTCCTGCAGCTCTAGACGCGCTGCTCCTGCTGCTCTAGACGCGCTGCTCCTGCTGCTCTAGACGCGCTGCTCCTGCTGCTCTAGACGCGCTGCTCCTGCTGCTCTAGACGCGCTGCTCCTGCTGCTCTAGACGCGCTGCTCCTGCTGCTCTAGACGCGCTGCTCCTGCAGCTCTAGACGCGCTGCTCCTGCTGCTCTAGACGCGCTGCTCCTGCTGCTCTAGACGCGCTGCTCCTGCTGCTCTAGACGCGCTGCTCCTGCTGCTCTAGACGCGCTGCTCCTGCTGCTCTAGACGCGCTGCTCCTGCTGCTCTAGACGCGCTGCTCCTGCTGCTCTAGACGCGCTGCTCCTGCTGCTCTAGACGCCGTGCTCCTGCTGCTCTAGACGCGCTGCTCCTGCTGCTCTAGACGCGCTGCTCCTGCTGCTCTAGACGCGCTGCTCCTGCTGCTCTAGACGCGCTGCTCCTGCTGCTCTAGACGCCGTGCTCCTGCTGCTCTAGACGCGCTGCTCCTGCTGCTCTAGACGCGCTGCTCCTGCAGCTCTAGACGCCGTGCTCCTGCTGCTCTAGACGCGCTGCTCCTGCTGCTCTAGACGCGCTGCTCCTGCTGCTCTAGACGCCGTGCTCCTGCTGCTCTAGACGCGCTGCTCCTGCTGCTCTAGACGCGCTGCTCCTGCAGCTCTAGACGCGCTGCTCCTGCAGCTCTAGACGCGCTGCTCCTGCTGCTCTAGACGCGCTGCTCCTGCAGCTCTAGACGCGCTGCTCCTGCAGCTCTAGACGCGCTGCTCCTGCTGCTCTAGACGCGCTGCTCCTGCAGCTCTAGACGCGCTGCTCCTGCTGCTCTAGACGCGCTGCTCCTGCAGCTCTAGACGCGCTGCTCCTGCTGCTCTAGACGCGCTGCTCCTGCAGCTCTAGACGCCGTGCTCCTGCTGCTCTAGACGCGCTGCTCCTGCTGCTCTAGACGCGCTGCTCCTGCTGCTCTAGACGCGCTGCTCCTGCTGCTCTAGACGCGCTGCTCCTGCTGCTCTAGACGCGCTGCTCCTGCTGCTCTAGACGCGCTGCTCCTGCTGCTCTAGACGCCGTGCTCCTGCTGCTCTAGACGCGCTGCTCCTGCTGCTCTAGACGCGCTGCTCCTGCTGCTCTAGACGCGCTGCTCCTGCAGCTCTAGACGCGCTGCTCCTGCTGCTCTAGACGCGCTGCTCCTGCTGCTCTAGACGCGCTGCTCCTGCTGCTCTAGACGCGCTGCAGGACCTGTTGATGTGCATCAACCATTGACTATGCTGCAAAGCAGCTGCTTCTGCTGCCCAAAGCACGTGAGGTTTGAACGTAGCATAATGGTTCTATGGGTTAAATTCTTTAATGCCTTTGTGTTGATGCTCACCTTTCATATTAGTCTTACTTTACCTTGATAGATGTTGGTTATGATGGTCAGGATTTGACCACGTGTATAATGGCTAAACCTGGTTTACTAGTAGCTGATGCTCTGGAACATTTTCACAACGTTTGAACTCTCAGTGCTCTCCGTAATAACTCAGGAATGCTTTTTGACATTCTCTTCTTTTCTACCCAGACTTTTCTAGCACTGTTGCCGAGTCCAACTCGAAGAAACTGGATGTTAACAAGGAGAACAAATATCCCGGTCCTCCGGCTAATCGGGAGGAAAAGAACGTGGTGAACATGGCGTCTGAGCAGACTTCCAGCCCTTTCAGCACCGACCTGGAAGAAGGGGAAATTTTAAGCGACAGCGACGAGCCGAATGCAAGTTCTCCTGTTCCTGCCGCCAAGAGGACCAAGCTAGCGGAACCGGTCAGGAATAAGCCGAGCTCCAGGAAAAAACCAGAAGAACGTCGGGTCGCGTCCAAGGAGGATTCAGCTGCCGTCTCAACGCAGAGTCCTAGAAGTCGCTTTAAGACCGTTTGTCCGGCAGCAAGCAAAGCCTCTTTTTCATCTCTGGAAGAAATAATGGAGACGTTCAAGCTGGTTCGCACAGAGATGCGGAAAAAATACATGAAGCTCCATAAAACGTTCCCTAAGAAAAGCTTCTACGGAGTGATGGACAATTTCCAGAAGTCTTTCATAGAGTTTGTGGATGGAGCTCAGTTTGGCCAAATATGCAGCAACGATCAGGAGCTGAAGTCTAAATTGAAGAAGCTGATTGCCTCCGTGTTCAGCAAATTGTTAAACAACGGCATCGTGAAACGCATCTTTGAGCAGCAAGCGGCCAACCTAAAGCAGAAACTGTGGGACTTTGTAGACGTCCAAGTGGACTACCTCTTCATAGACATCCACACGGCGCTGAAGAGCCTCTGCCAGGCGGCGAGGACTCCCCCTGAAGATAAGAGGTCCACCAGAGAGGGACTAGAATCCCAGCAGGCTGCTGTCAAAAAGCAGAACACGTCTCATTCACCCAACTCCAGCCTGAATAGGACCAAGTCAAGTGCAGTGGTCCCGTACAGAACCGGCCTGGGAAGCAGAGGTAAAGACATCCGAATGTCTCACGCAGAAAAAGACGACACCTCTAACGCGGCTCCTCAAGAAGGTGTTAAGACACAAACCCCAGAGGATGTCCATCTCCCCCCGCCCTCAGACGGAAGTAAAGCCTGTCCCGTGATGATTGCTCCAAATGGCTCCATGCTGGATAAACCCGACTTCCAGCTGCTAACCGAGCAACAAGCTTCCAGTCTGACATTCAATCTAGTTCGAGACTCTCAGATGGGAGAAATATTCAAATGTCTCCTCCAAGGCTCTGACCTGTTAGAAAGCACTGGGGTGTCTGCAGACGGCACGGCGTGGTCCATTGGGACTCCAAGGAAGGACGGGGAAAGATTTCTCGGCTTCGCCACGCCGTCGAAGTTCCCCTCCCCGTCCAAGCCCGATGCGTCACCCAGACTCGTCGCCACCTGGTCCAGCATTTCACCCCGAAAGAGGTCGTCCCCGTGTGCCAAGGATCACATCCACCTTAACCCAGCACTGTTTGATGAGAGCTGCCTCTTAGAGCTTCCATCCGGGAGCCGATCCCTGGCCGCAGAAAGAACCTTTTCTATTTTAGCTGAAGACCTGGCAGTCTCTCTAACCATCCCATCGCCTCTTAAATCCGACAGCCACCTCAGCTTCCTGCAGCCAGCGGACATTGGCAGACCGATAGTGTCCACTCCAGACAGTGTTATCAGTGCACACATCAGTGAGGATGCCCTGCTGGACGGGGAGGACGCTACAGAGCAGGACATTCACCTGGCCCTGGATAACTCCAGCTGCAGCTCTAGAGAAAGCACGACCTCAGAGACGCCCGCTCCTGCCTTCAAGCCCCACGTTCCCATGCAGGCGCTGGTGATGGAGAAGTCCAACGATCACTTCATCGTCAAGATCCGTCAGATCAACTCAGCTGCAGAAACCACCCTGATCGCTGAAGAGAGCTTAAGCAAGACGTTGATAGAAGAAGGTCAGCCGTCTGAGGAAGATGCAGCCGCTTCTCAGGTACGTCAGAACGATAGCGGTCGCTGCATGGTCCCACCTTCAGAGAACCAGATCCATCTCACCCAGAGCCCTGAGGTTCGTCAGCCAGACTCCAGATCAGACACCCAGGAACCGGCAGTGGCTCCAGTCAGCCATTCATCCAACCAAGAACCAGACACGCCATCTGCAAAGACGCCAGCAGAGGACGGTTATAACGCCACGTCTCCAAGTCCCCACAGTGGAACCGTCACAGATGGAGAGAGGACACAGCTAAGAGTAGAAGTGACTCCCCCTAAAGCACAGCACAAAGCAAGCGCTTCCATGGCGTTTATGGACGACGCCAACGTGTCCGAGTCAGAGAGGAGTCTCACCATCGACACGAGCAGCTCGTCAGAGAAGACCACCAGAGGCCGCGACCCGCTCAGGAAACGGAAAAGAGGCCAGGATAAAATGAAAGCCAAGCGGTCTAGAAAGGAGGAGAGTCAGAAGGAGGCTCATCCCACCAAGAACCTTTCACCTTCAGCTCTGTCCCCCAGCAGCCTGTCCGCCAAGAACATCGTCAGGAAGAAGGGCGAGGTGGTGATGGCGTGGACCAGGTCGGTAACTCCTCTGATTGCTGGATTCTGGTTGGTCAAGCTTGGAGAGTTCAGTTTAGGGGAAGATTTGTAGAAGACGTTTCTCCTCTCTGAGGAGGAAGGAGCACTGAGGATGATATAACAAGTGTAATAAAGAGTTAAGGGGGACAAAAGGTGGCTTTGATCCCTCCCACTGGATTGGCCATGGAGGTCACCTGGGGGCGTTTGAGCGGGAGGGATCAGAGCCACTGTTGCCTAAGCTGGACTTTTCAAGCTTGACCATCAGCTGGAAGATCCAGAATCTTCACAGATAAAGACTTTGGTTGGTGTTGAATTGGCTGAAAATGTTTCCTTAGAAGCTTTGAATCAACCTGACTGGATGACCTGGTGAACTGGAAAGTGCCTTCAGATGACATCATGTGAAGTAGAGCTATATAAATAAACTGAATTGAATCATGCATAACTTTAGTGCCATATAGAATAACTCCATCTTCTACTTTTCAGATGGATCTGCATTTTAAGCACATTTAACTTGCCGTCCAATTCAACTGTATTTTTGCAGCTATCTTGTCCTGTGCAGGCAGCAGCAGGACAGAAAGATTATTAACAGAAAAATAAAGAGATCCAAGAAAAGCTAGAACCAGCTGAGCGATGGATCGGGTCCTGAGAACCGTTGGTCTGGATGCTGCTTCCTCATTTTGAAGCAGATTCCCTCCATTCAGCCACCATCTGAAGGCACGTTATAGAGACGACTCGATCATCCAGACTGATCCATGGTTCTCTAAGGAAAATGGTGGATTTCATCAGCACTTCAGTAAACTGAAGCTGTCACATCAGCTCAGACCTTCTGCTTGTTTCAGTCATTTTTGTTAAACCTGCTGGTGAAGATTCTCAGTCATCCAGGTCAAAGTAAAACAAACAAACCAATGGACTGTATTCCAAGTTCGAGGACGCTTCGCTCTCCATCCAGGAAGCTTTTTCAATTCAAAATAAAATGAAGAAGAAATTTAAAATAGTTTTGTTAAACTTATTTTCAATTCAATAAAAATATAAAATTGATATTGATGAGATGACGTGTTGTGAATTAGTGTTATATAAATAAACTCAATTGAATATCCGATTAATAATTGAATAATAGGAAAAAGAATCGACAGATGAATCAATTTGCAGAATAATCATTATTTGCAGCCCTAGTTTCCTAATTTAAGCTTGCTGGAGCGCCCTCTAGCTGCCATGTTGAGCATAGGCCATGTCTAAGCAAGTAAAGCGTGAAGGATTGATGTTGAGTCTCTTGTTCTTAGAGATGAAGATCGAGCGATTCTGATGAGCCTGAAAACCAAAGGAGCTTCCAGGGAGACGTTTTCTACGCTCTCAGAGAAACTGAACAAGCCATCAGAGCAGGTGAGTCCATCTACTCTCCCTCCAGCTAATTTATCCCCCCACTGTCCTGGAATCACTCAGAGATGTTAGTTACTCATTGAAACTCATCCTAATTATCAATGGTTCCAGTTTATCATTGGAACGGATTCACCACAGGCCGCCATTTATGGCCCTTTTTAATTGTCTGGTTCAACAAATTATTATTTACTCACTTTCAGATTAAAGGTCTTTTTTCCCAGTTTTAATCAAACCATTAAAATTATCCACCTCCCCATGGAATATTTATTTTTCTTAGTTGGCTCAACAAACATTTTAGACTCCTTTGGTTTGTAATCATTCACACTGAAGAATTTATTTATTTATTTATCCGTTTATTTGCCAGTACACATTTATGAAAATTTTTGTAAATGTGTCAGTGTTAGCTACCTTTATAAAAAAGGAAAAAAAATGATAAAACATAGAAAATGTAAAAGAAATGAGGCTACATCCTTCCAAGGGCAGGACCTACAGTCCAAACAGAGACATTAGCTTATATGTACAGATATGTACAAAGGAACACCTGATCCTGACATCTGGCCGGGTCATGCACCAGGTGATCGATCGGTAAGGTCTAATGAGCTGATTGCTGATTTGATGTTAACCAGTTTTTAGTTCTGAATGTGTTAAAAGTGGAGGATTCTCTGATAGTGAGAGAAAAGCTGTTCCAGATGTTCCAGCTGCTGACTGAAAGAACAATCTGGTCAAAGGGGGTCAGTCTCCTCTAACCATAGACCGAGTGGCTTTGCCAGAAGAGGGTTTTAGTTTTATAAATTCCCTGAAAGGTATACAGCACCATCTTTTATTTCCGGGTGGATCTTTTCAATAAGTGGTCCTCCTAACTGTCAATCATTCTGGTTTTATGTTTACATTAGGCTGTCCTACGTGCCCGCCCTGTTAGCTATATTTTCTGCTTCCGCATACTTTCGGGCATCTGTGGTGAGCTATGGTTTCAGACCGTTGTTTTAGCTCACCTTTCTCACTGCGGTTCTTTAAAAATGGCCGAGGGTTGTAAGAGAAAAAATGTTTACGAAAAGGAAGTCCTCAGAAGAAGCAGACATTACCCAGAATGCTTACGCAAAGCATTCTGGGTAATATCAGCATATGCTGTTAGAGCTATGGACACTGAGGGACTTTACACCCTCACTTTTATCCTCTTTATTAAAAGGGTTATCCTGAAATAAAATCTGTACCTACAAAATAAGAAATATATATATATTTTTTAACAAAATGTAAAATACACATGAATTTAGCACAGTATGAAGTGTATGGACCTTTCCAAAAAAGCTAAAAACAGTCCACTTTGTTTCCAAGTTTTAAGATGTTTCTCTTTCATCCAGGAAGCTTTTTCAATTCAAAATGTCAGGGATAGCGTTGAGTTCCAGGTTTTATACAGCAGCCCAACAAAGCCTGGTTTTTTTTTTTTTTTTTTTTTAGAAAACATGCAAATTGAAACAGATGAACGGGTCCACCCCTTTGGAATGGAGGTTGTTTGTCTTCTTTGTTAGCCTGTAATGCCCCATACCTGTATATGTCTCTGAACGGGGGTTGGTAGAGAGAATTGTTGGCCTGGATAATTAGGTGAGGTCTTCTGTTCCCCTGTAAAGGGTTAGGGGTTGTGATGGTAGCATGAAGGGATCAACTCAATCAGTCCACCCCCACTCTGTTTAAGTTTGGTTTTTCTTTCTTAACATAGATGGCTTCCTCCATGCCCCTCTCAAACCACCTATTTTCTTTATCCAAAATGTGAACATTCTGGTCCTCCAAAGAATGTCCTTTATCCATCAGGTGTAGATGTACCGCAGAGTCTTGTCCAGAGGAGGGCGCTCTTCTGTGTTGGGCCATGCGTCTGTGGAGAGGTTGTTTGGTTTCTCCAATATAAAGATCAGAGCGTTCCTCACTGCATTGAACTGCAGACACCCCTCTGCTCAGCTTTGGTCTGGGGATGAATGGACCTTTCATACCAAATAACCTCCAGCATCAGTAGAGCCCAAATGCATGCTGGGAAACAGTAGCATCTAGAAAACAGCAGGTTTTATTTTCCAAGAGAAGAGAAGCTCCCCAGTGTCCAACATTTTGAGTTGAGTTGTGTTACGGTGTTGATGTTTATCAACCAAAACTAGAAGGACTACCATTTAAAAAGCTTCCGTTTGTTATGTTATATCTTTATGCCTGAAATGTGGCAAAAGGTCAAAGTTCAAGGGGGTGAATACTTTAGCAAGGCTCTGTATTATGGGATCTATCTCCAGTTAGACCTGCTGAGGTGTCATTCTAAGTCTAAATGTGTTTTGTCTTTCAGATCGCTCAACGGTTTTACCAGCTCATGAAGCTTTTTAAGAAGCAGGAGAAGATGGATGCTTGATTTTATCTGAATAAAAGCTTGAAGTGATCCTCTGCGCTGCAGTGGACCTCAGATGGGCTGGTTTATGGAACGCTCTGGAGCGTCGCTGTCCACAGACCCGTCAAAACTAAACACAGAAGAGATCACACTGCTTCCTGTTCAGGGATTCTGTTTCCTGTTTACTCAACCAATGTCTGACTTTAATTTAAAAAAGGAAACTAAAGAACGATGTGAGTTTTTGATGCCATGTATGGTTTTATTTTTGTGTTTATTTTTAGGCATCTTGGAATGGTTTTTTTTTTTTTTTTAGACTGATGATAACCTTTTACAAAAGCAAACCCTTAACAGAACCTACAGAGATCTGTCCATGTTGGCAGATTTGACAATAAAAAACATTTCTCCAGAATGTTCCCACCATCAGAAAACGTCTGCAGCTCAGAAGGATTGCCTGTTTTTCTTCTTCCCAAAGTTGGTGGATTTCCTCTGGAAATGACCGGCTGCTGTCAAACTTTAGGTTGTTTTTTTGTTTTCTGTGTGGCGTTAGATTTGCTCCCATTAGCGTTCCTGTTTAATTCTCCTCATTCGAATGTTTACATGTCCAATCAGGGCAGCACATAATAAGCTGCTGTTAGCAGCCTGGTTATCTCTGTGCCTTAAAGGCATTTAGTACAAATCTTTGATGTATAAAACAGAAAGCATTATAAATGTACATAACAATTTTTGAAAATAAAGTTTTATTTATTTATACTGGTTTCAGACATGTTTTTATTTCTCTAAATGTTTTCACATTTTCCTCCCCAGTGTTTTACTGCAGGCTAATTAGCATCAGTCAGGAGAATGATGGAAGCATAGCAGCAGTTTGAAGGCTGGGATAAAACTGGATGGTTCTCCTAAAGTGGGATAGATAAGAGAGGCCGACCTCTAAACAGTAAATAAATGCTGTAACATTTCAATCACTGTGAAAACAGTCGAGGTCTGGAGGGCAGCTCAACATATTGAGGGAACAACTGGAAAAACATCCCATTTACACCCTTCAGAACCCTGACTTTCCTCCGGGTGTGTTGTATGCAGGTTTTGGGGAATGGGTTGCTAAGGGTATTTCTTCTCTGGACTGTCTTTTTAGGGAGGGTGTTCTAATGTCGTTTAATTAAGTTATGGAAGCCTTTGGAGTTGGGATAAATAACCTCTTCAGTTTCTTCCAGATAAGAGACTTTATTAATGAGGGAACAACTCCACTCAGGGACACTGAGGTTTTGGGCATCCATAAACTGTTCTTCAGAACGCGTGAAGTGTCACTCAGTATGTGCAAAGGATTAAAATGTCATAATCAGGGCAGCACATAATAAGACAAAGTCCTCAGTTATCAACTCCTATTGCAACTTAAATTACTACCTGTCCCCAAAACAGATGTCTAAGTTTAAACCCGGGTTCCCTTCACTGTGTCCTAAATGCAAAATACATGAAGTCAGCCTCCCATTGTTTGGTCCTGCCCTAAGATCCAGTTATACTGGGAATCTATTCTGGTGGAGACAATGAAAATTTGTAAAACCCATATTGATATCGATCGAGTTTCTTCTCCTTGGTCTACCAAACAAACATAAAGAAAACCAGAGCAAATTGTATAATGTTCTAATTTTTTGTGCTTGAAAGAATATTTTTTTACAATGGATTTCTAATAAATCTATTTTTGGCTGGAAGAAGCATATTTTTGAATATTTCCTTCTTGACTTTCTAACATACCTCGTCCACTCTAACACTTTTGGACATATATGGAAGCCCTTCCTTGACAATGCCGAAGGAGGGGTGTCCTCCATCCTGTCTAGTGCGTTTATAAAAGCTTAGATTTGGACTATATAATGATGGAAATATGTATGCCTCCAATATTTTTCTTTTCTGCACCGCTGAGCTTGTGTTCTATGTTAAAAATTTATAAACATATCTATAAAAAAAAAAAGCCAGGCTGACTTTCTGGTTCTGTGAAGCAGGGATGTGGGCGTGCCTTGGTGGCTCAGTGGTTAGCGTGTATGAGTCCTCGACCCGGGTTCGAATCCGACCTGAGGTCCTTTGCAGCATGTCTCGTAGCCCCTTTCCTGTCGGCCTACTGTATAAAAAACAAGCCACTAGGGCTGTAAAAACCTCAACAAAAAAAGGCAAATGTTTTTTTGTGTGCAAATTAATGGTTTACCTTACCTACTACACTTTAATGTAAATGTCAATCCACCTGTATATAAGCCATCCTGATTGTACATATGTCACCTCAAATCTCTGTTACTGCCTTGTATTTTTTATTTTTTTATTTCTTATTTTTATTATTTTTATTATTATTTTTTTATTCCTAATGCACCTTTTCCTCCTTGTTTGCACCTTCTTTAATTACTATGTCAATATGTGACCAGGGAATTTCTCCGCTGTGAGATCAATAAAGCTCATCTAATCTAATCTAATCTAAAGTGGGTCTAGAACACAAGTAGCACTTTAATCATTTTCAAAGTGCTACCATCTAGAAATTTCAGTAATTTATCAGGACTCAGAGTTTTTAGGTTTTTAGGTCATGTCATAAAAATGAAAAGCTTATCAATCAGAAAATTGTCACATTTCTATGCTTTTAGGATGTGGTTTGATTCTGTGCTTCAATTTTATTTTGTAGTTAAAACTTTATAACCGGATAAATTCCTATTCCTGTTTAAAACCTGACACTTCATGCATGTCTATGTGAATTTGGAACTTAATGGAACAAAAAAAATGTTTTTTATTCCAGATCCAAGTTAAAAAGATCTGTCCCTTTATTCAAAGTGTTTCTAAAATAGTTTTATTTTTGAAGCCTTTGTATTTTCCATGATATAGTTAAACCGTATTTTAACCAGTAATCTATTATATGATGACTCTGGTATTGGCTTACAGAGCAGCATGTTGGCTCTGATCAAACCAGAACATTCCATAATCTCTAATCAGAAACAGAGAAGTTTGATGATACGACTACAGTAATTTCACATCAAGATTTTTCTGGACAAAAAGGGCAGAAATCACCACATAAAGTTATCCTATACTGATAGGCTCTAGCCAGGGAGGACTGAACAACAAATCTATATTTATGCAAACTGTTGATCTATAAATACGTGATATGCTGTGAAAGCCGCCGAAGGCTGGACCTGTTTGAATCCACAGCCAACACTCTTCCTTATTTTCACGGACTTCGAATGATCCAGTCCAGATACACCAGTTCCTTGGAGGATGCAGCCCATGAATTCGAACGCACCCAATGATCCTCTCCATGATGGTGTCACCAATAAACAAAACCAGGCCAGACGATGCTAGAATGATGAGAAACAGCAGAGTTTCTGAAAAGTTAGAAGTTAAACCTCTAGGTCTAAAATTGGTTCCACAAGAGAGGAGTCTTCTAAAAAAAGCCTCCAATTCTACTTTAGAAACTCTAGGAACTAGATTTACCGTCTGCTCTTCTTACATGGAACCAGGAAGTTTTAGTTCAATGGTGTGAACACCTAACAAAATGGTTGATATCCCCTGTTTACTGAAGAAAAAACCCTAAATAATCACAGGAATTACTTGAATCTGACAAAAGTAACGATAAATAAAAATTTATAAAAATTGAGAAATTAAAATAAGACATTGTTTTTTCTATCATACTTCAACAGAATAACAATGAAATATAAAATAATGAAACAGGCCTGGACAGATACAACAGCTACTATGAGGAAAAAGCAGAGAGAGCAGAATGTTTGATTGAACTAACAGGTTCTGCAGAGTGGGAGAATAGAGATAATTATGAAAAAGGGGTCCCTATGTCCTCCAGCAGTCTAAGCCTATAGCAGCATAACTATAGAGATAGCTCAGGATAACCTGAGCCACTCTAACTAGAAGCTTTATCAAAAAGGAAAGTTTTAAGCCTAGCCTTAAAAGTAGACAGGGTGTCTGCCTCACGGACTAAAACTGGTAGTTGGTTCCACAGGAGAGGAGCCTGATAACTAAAAGATCTGCCTCCCATTCTACTTTTAGAAATTCTAGGAACCACTAGTAAACCTGCAGATTGAGAGCGAAGTGCTCTGTTAGGAACATAAGGAACAATCAGATCTCTGATATCAGATGGAGCTTGGCCATTTAAGGCTTTATATGTGAGAAGGAGGATTTTAAATTCTATTCTGGATTTAACAGGAAGCCAATGAAGAGAAGCCAGGATAGGAGAGATTTGATCTCAAGGCACTTTACAGTGCCTTGAGATCAAAACCAAGGCGGCTGTGGGATTCAGGGCTTCAGGGCATTTTAAACTCTGGATGAACCCTCAGACTTTATAGATCCACATCTTGACTATTACTCAAGCTAATTGAGTTAAGTCATTAAAAGACCTTACATTATTATTATTTTTTTCATTAAGGCCTTAATTGAATTAAAATTCATTAAATTTGATTATCGGTGGCATTTAAAATGCTTCATAAAAAAAAAAAGAATGAAAGGAAAGCAACTAAGGCAACTAAGGCATACCTAACTCAGGATAACAAACCAAACTGACCTCACACAATGAACACACAGGAGAATTTATACTCAAAGGCTAGCCTACACAAACGAGAAGGGGTGGGAAATGAGACAAAGACAAAAAATGCATGAACATGAATAACTAATTCAAACCAACACATTTTGACTACAACAAAACTATAAAAAAACAACAATGTAACACCAAAAATGTTTTAACAGTTATACCATAAGTAGAGAGAAGCAGACTCTAACATCCAGTCCCCTGCTTCCAGCAGCCTGATGGTACATCCCACTTCCTGGTTTGCCTTTCAACCAGTCCTCTCCACTCAGCCCTCAGTCCTTCAAACTCAGCAAAGAAAAGTAGTTAATTCAAATATACAAAAGGTGTTTACTAAATGTGTGCACCCATAATAGTAAACATCCTAATGCCAAAAAAAACACCACAAAAGTGAAATTATAAATGTACTGTGTGAAGACCTTTAAATAAATAAATACTAACACTGAGGAAAAGATGGAGAAACTTCCACAATATATCATATATAACTGGTTCCGTGTGCTGCTTCCAGTTGGTCGTAGAGCCATATGTTCGGAAAAGAAGCAAGAAAATTAAGAATTCAGGACATGGTTGCAGCCTGTCAACTGTAAAGATGACTAAAGATTGTGCTGTATTACAGTATCTATATCTATCTATCTATCTATCTATCTATCTATCTATCTATCTATCTATCTATCTATAGATATATATATAGATATCTATATCTATTTATATATATACACTACCGTTCAAAAGTTTGGGGTCACATTGAAATGTCCTTATTTTTGAAGGCAAAGCGCTGTACTTTTCAATAAAGATAACTTTAAACTAGTCTTAACTTTAAAGAAATACACTCTATACAAAATAAATATATGACTATTCTAGCTGCAAATGTCTGGTTTTTGGTGCAATATCTACATAGGTGTATAGAGGCCCATTTCCAGCAACTATCACTCCAGTGTTCTAATGGTACAATGTGTTTGCTCATTGGCTCAGAAGGCTAATTGATGATTAGAAAACCCTTGTGCAATCATGTTCACACATCTGAAAACAGTTTAGCTCATTACAGAAGCTACAAAACTGACCTTCCTTTGAGTAGATTGAGTTTCTGGAGCATCACATTTGTGGGGTCAATTAAACGCTCAAAATGGCCAGAAAAAGAGAACTTTCATCTGAAACTCGACAGTCTATTCTTGTTCTTAGAAATGAAGGCTATTCCATGCGA